TCACATGTTCGGGCTCTCAAGCTGTTTCACCGCCTTGAAACCTGCAATGTGCTTTTGCGTTCTGCACGATGCCGTGTGCAACAATGGACACGTTAGGGCGCTATGTCTCATTTAGCATGTGCGGCATATCAACACGATGTGTTTAAAATGCTCAAACAAAATTGGATGTTGTCAATGTTGTCCGTGCAGTGCTATGTTTTGTGATGCGCGCAACGCTTTCATCTTAACCCTAAAGAGCTGCTCAGAAATTGCAATTCTGTCAAATATATTCGGGATCGATTGAAAATTACCTAACCCAAAAAGTGTAGAATGATAGTTTGATATTTGCACAAACCCAGGTGTTCCAGAAGCCCTTGTCCTTGGAAAAGGGGCAGTGAAGCAGATTGGCCCTAGTTGACATGGTTCATATCATATATTTCATATCATATTAGTTAATCTAGTCTTAAATGATTTATAAATAGTCTTGAATGATTTATAAATAGTCTTGAATGATTTATAAATAGTCCTGGAGAGCTAGGTATGCTTGACAGAGGGTCCCAAATAAAGAGGCCCATCCGCCTACTAAATCATGTTCATCAAGTGCAAACCACAAGGCTCCTGTATTTCTGCTGACCAGTGAGAGACTTCCCAGGCTGCGGTTCCAAAACTCCAAGACACATCTGGACACTCTGTCAAATCTGATTCAGTCTGATTCAGCAAAGGAACTTTTCATAGCAGAGCTGGCAGATTTGTTCTGCTGCATCTTTCTGCATTCCAGCCTCAGCACTCCGGATTCGCAAAGACTTGAAGGGTTCGAAAGGTTCTGTTGCTTAATTTGGTCAGTGCTGTGAACGTCAAAAAAAGCTCTCACGATGCTTCCAGAACCCTGACAGGCTTGTTGCTTGACCAGCTTGCATTTCTGCACTTAAATCCCAATGATTTAGTACAAAGCCGATAGGTTCCTTGTATGTGTATATAATTAGCTTTGCATCAGGAGCATGGGTTCTGATGTGTTCTGCCCTTCGACAGTTAAATCTCATAATTAATTTACACAGAATTGGACAGAAACCACAAACCAACATTTCAAGTCTCTCGTGCACACGTTAGCCCACAAGTGGAGCCAAAGCGCTGCCTTGCAAGTGGTCTGAAAGCTCAGCTTTTGCCCATCAACTTTGATGGAAAACATGAAACGTTTGTCCTCGCGAAACCAAAAGCCACAAGGGCCACAAGTAGCACCATCCGTAGAACTGTTGCATCAAAGCTGCCCTAGAATGAACCCCAGCATCCACTCGGAGAGTTTGAAGCTTCCGGTTTCGGATTCACATGCTCCAAATAGGCACACGCTGTATCAAAGCATCTCCAACTGGGCAACTTCAACAGCAACCTCTTGTATCCAGGCGCGGGAACTACAAGATCGGCTTTGTTCGGAATGGTAGCAAAAGAATCCGGTGGTCTATCATTAGGATCTCCGTTATAGCATATTATATCATACAATGCAGTAAATCTACATATAATATCATATATTCTATAATAATTCTATAATATGTAATAATATGTTTACTAATATGTTACAATGGCAATTGATTGGGGTATACAGTGGTATACAGCATACCCAATTGCTAGAGCCGCAAACCACTGACCACAAGATACCACAAGTCCCCAGTCCTTCTCATCCCAACGAATCTTGGGCACATCCTGGTCCAAAGTGGTCGAAAATTCAATTGGGATCCCCAGATAAGGAAAAATTGAGGAAAATTGAACCACCAACCGAAGGATCCCCATGTTTTTTTCATTGGTCCCTTGCATTCCCTTGCCGAAGGATCATCTTTGGCCCCATGATCTCCTGGATTTCCATGCTCTTGTTCTCTGAAGTGGCCGCCTCAGTGCTTTTTCAGAACCAAAACATATCAAAATACCTCCAATGTATAACAGGACTTGATAGCCTTTTTTTCAGCGGGTTTCGAAGGTGCCTTGCAGGAAACCAATCAATGCTACTGAAACAGGATGCTGAGAACAGACATCCGCCTTTATCATATAGTAGCATCAACTTTGGGCCCGCGCTTCCATCTGTGTCTGCTTCAAATCATCTTTTGGCACCTTCAGTCCGACATGTGAGGAAGCAAACTGAGAAAACCGCTCCTCAATCCCTGAAGCATCGCTTCTCTTTGCCACAGGATGCTTCTGGGACCTTCACTTGTGGCTTCTTCACACCTGCCGATCCATCCTTTGACACCTTGCAGGGAAGTGAAGTGAGAACGAATCAGTCTCTTTTATCTCCAACTTTGGCGCCCGCACTTCCTTCACACGCTTCAGCATGGCAGGTTTTTGCACCTGAATTCAGCCATGGACGGAATCTCAAGAGGGGATGACCATGAATGAAGAACATGTTGCAAAAAGTGCTCAACATGAAAATAAACTTTTGCTTTGCACTTCTGTATTGCCATGTTTCAGCCTTTTGTCACCGCCGTGACACTGCGGCCCACGCGTCTGTATTGTTCCGCTTCAAGTTCCCCTTTGGCACCTTTGTTACCGACCATCGAATTTGGACTTGATGGAGGTGGAGCACATCAACGTTTTGGAAGGGGAAAACTGCCACAGAGTGAGCTTTCTCCGCTTTATTCATCCCACAAGACATCTCAGATGCGAACCAGCTACTGTATGGGAACTTTGCTTGCTGCGCGTCAGCGTTGATTCTATTCTATTGGGTAGATCAAGTAAGAAAACAAATGATCAAATAATCGTCTTGCTTTCCACCGTATAGGATAATTGTTCAAAGTGTGCGAAGGCATGAGAATTTGAGTCCAATGCAGCCAGACAGGCAAATGTGAAGGCTCGTGTCATGTGAACAAAAACAAGGCGCTTCTCGACGACTTTGTCCATTTTGGGCAGGCCTCAAAGTTTTGGAAGTAGCAAGGGAAGTCAACCCTTTGGTATCCTTTTGCTGGGTGGTCAAAGTCACCATGGCGGACTAAACGAAGTAAAAAGTGTCCAAATCTTCTCATGATTCAAACATGGGCGTTGGAACGTGTAGATTTCGTTTTGTCACAGGCTCAAGTGGTGCAACAGCCGGAGGATGCCAAGTATACCCTGTCCATTCTCATACCAAAGTGGGAAAACTGTATTCATGCCTCCCGTGCACACTCCTCCCAAAGAAGAACAAGAAGGGCACGTGAGAAAGGAACGTAGAAGAATTGCGACGGAAGCTAAATGCGACAAATCACAGTAAGTGTTGCGTGTATAGATGTGTATAGTATATTATAGATGTGTGGTATGTCTTTTCAGACATATGACATATTATTCATATTATGTATATTAGCTGACAGAACACATCAAAAGCTGCAAGTGGATGCACAAACAAAGGTAGTCAAAGGTTGTGGCAGAGTATCTTGGCAGGACCAATTTGATGCCACACTCCTGCTCAAACAGTCAGGATACAGCAATTGGGTGATATCCAGTGGTGCTGCCACCTCTAAATCTGCCAAAAGGAGAATTGTTCCGTGTCACTGTTTTTGTACTCAGCCAGTCACAATGCCATGATCTTGCTCACAACTCTTGTCATATCTTGGACAGTGCAGTGCAGTCTCTACTTTTACGTTGAAGGGTCCATTGCGTAAGTGAGTTCAGATGGACAACCATAGATGCAGGCAGACAATTAGGCTGGGAGAGCAGCAAGCAAGCGAGCAGATATGCAGGCAGTTGCAAGCAACACGACAAACAGCAAGCATTGGAATATGGTAGACAGCCAGAGAAGGCAAGAATGCACAGTAAAATAAAGCACCGATGGCCGATCGCAAATGATTGAGGTGACCTAAAGACTTCGACCGAATAGGTAAATCATGAGAAATCGACGTCAAGCGGGAAGCCTGCTCTTTGCAAACAGGCACCAAAGTCCAAGCAATTCAGTCCTTGAGGCAGGCACTTGAACCTTCCAGAGCAGGCTATTTTACAAACTTCAGGGACAGTGGAAACAATGTCGAAGACGATGCTGACTTCTCCACAGGTTTTAACCTATGTTCGCAGCAACCATCCTGGCGGTTGCCTTACTTCCTCACAGCTTGCTTGGAAGAAGTGGCATTCAAGGGAGAATACGGACTGACAGCATACAAGTTCACAGTTTCTTCTATCAGCTGCCAAGTCCCCGAGTAGTCGCAAGCAACAATCCACATCAAAGGCACACAAGCATCAACCATTCACTACCAGCGCTTCACCAGCCTTTTTTTTGGCAACGCTCGGGATTGCTGCCCGAAGTGGGCGCAAGCCGCGGCGGTCCATGGCGACAGTTTCAGGTGGATTTGCGCGCGCCAGCTTAGATGTCACGTAGATCATCGCTGGAGCAACAAAATCCGCTAGGCCACCGGGGGCCATGAAGACATGTAGTCTCATAAAAGTGGACGGTGCAACAGGAATCCTGGTCTTGTTGTTCACTTGCTGGGATCCCTGTCATTACACGGCCGCTGTGCTTGAGAGATCGTGTATGACATTGACAAATCAAGCCTACTATGGTGCTCCTATAGATTAGTAACTCGATTATAACCTATAGTTATATCTAAGTTACTAAGTCATAACTTCTTAGCTAACTTTTTGTAACTTTTTTTTGCTATAAAAAAGTGTCTTTAAAAGTGATCAAATTTTGATTTTTTTGATGATTTTGAGTGTTTGCTGTTTGAAGCGTTTTCAACTGCTCAAAAAATGCCAAATGGAGCGGTTTTCAAACCGCTAAAAGCTGTTTTTGTTGGAACAGCCGTTTTCAGCATGTCAAACACTATAATTAATCGAGTGTTAAAACCCAAACTGTGAATGAAGATGTGTTCATGTCCACTAGAGGGGATGTATTGCTTGAAAAAGTGTCCAGGTGTTCACTTTACCTTGGCTAAATGCTGCAGTGTCCCTTTGACAAAACTCAATTTTTGCAGGATATCCTAGATGTCTTCAACGTAATTACAATATACATCAACATACCCATACCTGCCAACAAATGCATGCAGTATTCAAAACAGAAATGCAGCATACCCTTCTTCATAAGTGCAATCTTCCTTTGGAGCAACGCAGTGTGTTTTTGCAGAAGAATATCCCTATGAAATATCAAATGTTCCTTTAAAAGATACACCATGCCCTTTGGAGGAGTACAGTGTGCATTTAACAAAATTTCCTTTGAAAGGGGTCCTCAAGGTGAAAGGGGTCCTGGCCTAGAAGCCTCCAAGATTAATTTCGACCGAGTTTTTGCCTTTGTATGAAAAACTCGGTCGAAATTAATCTTGGGGGCTTCGCGCGCATAAGGAACATTCTTGGCCAGGACCTCTTTCACCTTGGGGGCCCCTTTCAAAGGAAATCTTGTTATTTCCACATGTCTAACCTTCCTTTCAAAGGAGCAGTATCCCTTTTAGAAAAGCCAATATTGCTGCACAATATGCAGTATTTTTGACATAGAGCATCCCTTTCAAAAGTGCAATATGTTTTGAAATGTGAGATTCTTTCAGAATGTTTTTTTCGCTCCTTACAACAGAGCATTGTCCTTTATGGCAACACAATCTTCCTTTGAAAAAGCAGCATTCGTGGAAACCTGGATTACTTTTCATTGATATATGTATCTAATCTACTCTAATCTAATCCAATTCAATCCAATCCAATCCAGATATATCTCATCTATATAATCCAATCCAATCCAATCAAACCCAAACAAATCCAATCCAATCCAGTCCAATCCAATCCAATCATATCCAATCCAATCCAATCCAATCTATCTAATCTAGCCAAATCAAATCTAATCCAATCCTATCCAATTCAATCCAATCCAATCCAGTCAAATCCAATCTATCTAATCTAATCCAATCTAATCTAATCCAAGCCAATCCAATCCAATCTAATCTAATGTAATCTAATCTAATCTAATTCCAATCCAACCCAATCCAATCCAATCCAATCTAACCTAATCTAATCTAATTTTAATCCAATCCAGTCCAATCCAACCCAACCCGTCCCAATCCATTCCAATCCAATCCAATCTATCTAATCTAATCTAATCTAATCTAATTCCAATCCAACCCAATCCAATCCAATCTAACCTACTCTAATCTAACATTATCTAATGTAATTTCAATCCAATCCAATCCAACCCAATCTAATCTAATCTAATCTAATTCCAATCCAATTCAATCTTATTGAAGTGCTGTAAAGGCCTCTGTGGTATATGGGTGGGATATATTGAGATATACTAGGGGAAACTGGGGTTTACTTGGGGATACTACGGTATACTAGGGTATAATACCGTATACCGTATACCATGGTATACTGACCGTATACCATGGTATACTGACCGTATACCATGGTATACTGGTGGTATACTGGTGGTATACTGAGGTATACTGTATACTGGTGGTATACTGGTGGTATACTGGTGGTATACTGGTGGTATACTGGTGGTATACTGGTGGCAAACTGGTGGTATACTGGTACACTCCCTAATCCAATCAATCTAATCTAATCTAATCTGATCCAATCCAATCCAATCCAACCCAATCCAATCCAATCCAATCCAATCCAACAACCCCATCCAATCCAATCCAATCTAATTCCAATCCAACAAAACCAAATCCAATCCAATCTAACCTAATCTAATCTAATCCAACCCAACCCAACCCAATCTAATCCAACCCACTCAAATCCAATCTATCTAATCTAATCTAATCCAATCCAATCCAATCCAGTCAAATCCAATCTATCTAATCTAATCTAATCCAATCCAATCCAGTCCAATCCAACCCAACCCAATCCAATCCAATCCAAGCCAATCCAAGCCAATCCAATCTATCTAATCTAATCTAATCCAACCCAACCCAATCCAATCCAATCCAATCCAAGCCAATCCAAGCCAATCCAATCCAATCTATCTAATCTAATCTAATCCAACCCAACCCAATCCAAGCCAAGCCAAGCCAATCCAATCTATCTAATCTAATCTAATCCAATGTAATCTAATCCAATCCCTCAGTCCCTCACCCAAGCCTGTAAAGACCTCTGTGGTATATGGGGACGTCTCAAAATGAGGCGCGCCCTTTTGGACCCCCAAAACGCTACTTTAAAAAAAAGGGCTCGCCTCATTTTGAGACATATGGGTGGAATATATTGGGATGTACTAGGGGAAACTGGGGTTTATAGTCAGCAATGTCAATATCAAAAAACGTACTCATTGGCTGCCTTTGTTTTTTCATAGTCTTCTGGCATGTTTTCAAAAATAAGCCAAAAACAAAATTGCTTAATCCATGCCCCAAGCCCCTAACCTTCCCCAAGGATACCTGTTTTTCCTTGGTTTTTACATGGTTTCTAATGGAACCAGAGACCTAAAGCAAGCAGAAACAACCACAAACAAATTTGCAATGCCTAAGGGGGGAAAAGTGGCAAAGAGTTAGATCCTGCCACTTTTTTTGCCAGTCCCTCAAAAGAAACAACGCACCAAGAAAGCAAAACACCAAGAAACCAAAAAAACAAAAAACAACAAAAAAAAACAAGATTGCACACCCCAAGGGGAGGGGGTCAGATGCAGTTTGTTGGGTCTTGTTTTTTTTTGTTTCTTGTTTTTTTTTGTTTTTGTTTTTTGTTTTTTGTCTTTGTAAAAAGAAAAGAAACTGCAAAGTGAGATTGCAAAGAGCAAACTAACCCATTGCAGGTGCATAAAGCACCTAAAAAGGCGCGCTCCCACAGTGGCCTGTTCTGTTTAAAAACCAGTTGCACATTCCCTCAGCCATGGAAGCGGTGAAAACCGCGCATTTTTCAAAAAAAAACAACTTCGAAGCGGCTTAACCGCTATAATTAGAAAAAAATATTGTTTTCGTTACAATAAAAACAAATGTTTTTCAATTTTTCTAAATTGTAAAAATGTGACAAAATAGTTGATATTTGCTTCACTTCATAACTTTTCATAACTTTTTGTATAACTAAAATTATAACTTCTTATAACTTTATAGGAGCACCATAGTAGCGAACAAGCTTACTCAAAGTCAATATATAAATATCACTCGTTTCATCCGCAGGGGCAATCGCCAATTGCCCTCTGCCAGCTGATTCAAAGTGCCCTTGTTTTGCAGCCACTTAGGCAAAGATAAGAAAGAAGCCACTTACGGTCTAGAATATACTGTAATATTTATTGATCTAAGTGACCTCGTTTCATGAATCCTTAAGTCACCTCTTTGCCTGGCTGATCACATGATTTCTGCGTCACTTGCGTGTCACTTGCGTGTCACTGGGGTGTCGAGGTGGGATGAAACGAGGTCACTTAGGACCCTGAAAAGGTCACTTGCGCCTTGAAAAGGTCACTTAAGGATTGGCTGTCTGTGTGTCACCTGTGTGTCACTGGTAGACCATTTTTTGGCTCATTTTCTTAACTGACCTCTTTCTAGGTTTTCCTTAACTGACCTCTTTCTAAAGGCCACTTAGCAGAAAACACAAACAAGGTCACAGGGAATCGTCTGGTGCCAGATACATTTACTGACGGTGAAAGAAGGTCACATGCAGGAAATATCGCCACACAAGATATTGAGCAACTCTCAACAAACCACACAGCCCGAAATCAAAGTACAGTAATGATCGAGGATCGAGCTTTGCGCAGGCGATCTACAGTAGTATCAGTAATACGGGTGCAAGGATGATTTTGTCTGGACATTGTCTGGCAAACTCGCTGTGATCTTAAATGCCTGGATGGAGTTTTGGCTTGTGGATGCAACCAGACTAAAGAAAAGTCGAGATTGCTGTTTCAAGATATTGAAACCAAGAATAGTGCACCTTGCTCCCTTGTCGGTTTCTGCTGCTTGCTTATTGAATGTTCGAATATCATATCAGTGCATGTGATCGCAAGAGTGCGGTCGGATACCAGAAGGATGCGCAAGCGAAGGTATGTAATGCGTTCGATTGTGTTTCAAAGCAGCGCTGACGGAAGCAGTCGAAACACCAACAGATCAATTGCTGGCTAGGCAGCAATTAGGGTTACGTGAGATGAATCACAGTATCATATCAAAGCGTGCTGCTCTTTTTTTCAACCCGTGCTCCCACACAGGTGCCATTACGGCCAAGGATTCTCCTTGAAAGCTTGGAAACGCATCGATAAGGCGTTCATATAACAGTGCAAGACCGGTAAGGAAGGTTTTGGAACTCAAAGCTCTCGGGCCAACCAGAGATTTGCGAACTGTTCCAGGATACTTGACTGCGGGACAAGCTTCTCCTGGAATGCCTCCGAGCAATCTGCCTCACCACAAAGCTTCTGCATAATGTCCCTTGCAGATTCCAAGTCAGTGCTCAAGAGAGATGGCCCGCTCATCCTCTGCATGCGAGAGAGTTCGCTGATAGATTCCTTCACAGAATCTCTTAGCTCTTTGAACTCTTCCACCAGTTCCTGAACTTGACATCAGAGTTGCAAATCTTTGAGAAACCCTTGTTCAGCAGTGTGTATGCCTGCTCATGTGTATATGTGCATTATGCAAGGCAATGTTGCAACAACCTGCTCCATTCATTTACAAGTGCAGCCCAGATACCTTCAGCTCTTCGACGGGCCCTTCTTTTGGCCTGGAGTTCTGCGCTAAGCTCAATGTCTTGAGCTTTTCTTGAGGTCCTTCTGGCGCAGAATGTGGCATCGGTGCCTTGCATGGAGTCAAAGCTGAGGTTGGCGACTTGCTCAACAGAAGGTCCCCAGGTGTGCTTGAGACCCACAGCTCTTCGGCTTTGGCATCCGGCACGAGACCCAAGCTGGAATTCTGGCTCACATTCAGCAGCATTCCAGCACATCCAGCTGGAGCTGGGCAGATTTGAGAGCCTATCAGGTTCAGAGAACGCGCCACCAGCTTCATGCTTGCAGGACCAGGTTTGGCCACACCATGTGCGATGCCTCCCACAAGTTCCATGATGGAACTCACAGATCGACGCTTCTGAACCACCTCCAGGTTCAGACGCTTCATTTCACGTTCCTGGTAGCGGCCTATGGCATCCAAGACAAGAATCTGCGTCAAGACAGGTGACAATGCCTTGTCAACGGCTTTCACCCCTTGAAAATGTGCAATGCGCAACAAGCTCACAAACGGCATGCAATGGTCCACATCTGGCATTGACACGCTGGCCATTTCTGCCATATCATGCAGGAGCCCTTGAGAAGCTGCCGTCTCCAGCAACTCATGGGCTTCGTGTGTGCTGCCCCAAGCGTCCAGCAGAACACTGCCAGCATCATCACTGAGAGACATAGCACGCTGCCAGAGCATCTGCAGGTCAGCTATGCTGTTTCCCTTGCAATGGATGTAGCCATCAACAGCATTCAAGGCTTCCTTGGCCGCCTTCAGCGCCCGCTTCTTGCTGTCGGCAAAGAGGGACTGCTTGCGGTGAGCCTCTGCCATTGCTGTAGTGATTTGGTTCCACCGGATCAGCACCAAAGAGCTTCCAGCCTTGTCTTCCAAGAAGTTGCCGTACATGGCTGGATTCCTTGGCAAAAAACAGAAAGGAGTGTCAAACAAATGTCATGGACAGCAAAATATATAGTAATATGATATATGTACTGATATAATCTGATACGTTATATACGATATGTGATATCATATAATCTATGACATGTGTCAGTCAGAGTCAAATCCGAGTCTTTGCTATGCTTCCTGTCCTGCAAACTCCCTTGCTGGGCCAAGGCTACCAAGCTTCGCAGCCCCAACCATCGAGACCACTCTTGTCAGGTCCTGACAGCTGTTCCACAACATCACATGTATCCACTCGTGAAATCTCGTGAAGTTGTCTCAGTCTTGCGTGACCCTCCGAATTGATGACTGTTTGAAATGGGGAGACGATTTTCAATGAATGAGAATGGATGGTTCGTCCTATGCTGGCCAGTTCGAATAATGGGCATAGACTTGTCAAGAGTCCACAAACTCTCGAGTTTCATGGCTTACCTGAAAATTGCCATTGTTCCTTTGGAAGCGGAGGTTTAAAATTCCTTTAGTATATACAAGAACCCAAAAAATCTCCCTGAGCCCTGCGGCCTGGCTATGCTTTTTCACAATATGCTGGACCACTTTTGTCTTCTGCGCAGTAGCCGCCTCCAGGGTTGTTTCTGTCGGTCCGTGAGTACGCCCCCATATGTGCGCTTCTCATAGACACAGACACCATCCCCACATCCTCATCTATGCTCAGCATGATCCCACTGCCTAAGAAAATGCAATGCGACCAACAAAGAAATAACATCTTGATTTTTAAAGCAACTGTTGGATCCAACCAGCATGCAGTGATGTTCAAAACCGCTACAAACTACGGCAGACTCCTGTGCTTTCCACACCTGGACAAACTCCGCACGTGTGGCAGGACGGCCCCGGGCATCAAATCCATCGGTCATGCGCTCTTGCCGGAGATTCCGCTGAGCAACAAACTTCTCCACTAACTGGCGTACCGAAGCCACGGACTCTGAGGAAGCGTTGCGGAAGGCGAAGATGGCTTCAACACCTGTCACTTTGGACCAATACAAATCCAGACATAAATATGTACAATGTGATTATTGAATACATAAATTTCATGAAAGGTGTATATTATATAGTTGTGATTTGTGATTGTGAAGCAGTGCCCCTAATGGGATCCTACAAGGAGTTGAGGTGAGTTGATTGCTGAGAGCTTGGGCGATGGGCAAAAAATGACGGAAACTTTGAAGCTTCGCAAAAAGAAGAAAACAAGAAGGACTTCACTCCATCATTGGCCATTGTCCCATGTGCGACAATGGTTCGAAATGGCTAAGAAGCCGGCTATCAGTGAGCTGCTTGCCGGCAGTTCTGTACCATTGATCCAGCGCAAGGGAGCCTTTACCTCAGTTCCATGTGGCTCCAATAATTAGATCATTTATGAAAATTTGATACTGTGTGACTGGGTTTCTGTCTTGTTTCTATCGCCCAAACCGGGATAATCCTTACCCCATCCCACGAATCGTGGTTGCCAAACTGCTGGAGTCAAAGTTAGTCTCCAAAAGTTTGGGCACTTCGTTCCTGAGATCATCTTTTTGACAACATCCCACGTGAATCAAGACAAATTATCTGGGTAAGCGGACTCAACTGAGCTTGACAATTGAACAGTTCCAAATGTGGTGTGGGCACTCAAAAACACACCATCAGACGTACTGATCGACTCGTCCCAGCCTCTTAGGGCATCGCTTGTGCAGGAAGCACAGGCAGTCGTGTGAGCTTCAAGCACGGCATGAATAGGTATGCATGGTTTAGTCTTGAAGGATGACGAAACCAGGTATGAATAAGATTGCAGCCCAAGCTCATCTCCGAAAGCAGGGTCTGCAGTTCTTGGGGCGCTTCGACATCGCCACTCTGCAGCAAGGCTCGCGTCTCTGTCTGTGAGGGTGTCAATTGTTCCCTCAACCTGAGATTCAAGCACCAGCACGTCACGTCACCCGTCACCTGTCACGCGGCCTCTTCAGCATGTATCTCCGCCGACCCCGGCCTTCGCCAAGGCAGGGGCGGCGCCTGGGGCCACCGCAGGTGTGGAACTTGTTTTTGTTGGTTTCAAATGCCTCAATGCTTCGCGGTTTTCCGCCACGGCCATCTCTTGTTCAAGCGTGCCGTTTGCCAGCCTTCCAACCCTTAAAATCCCCCGCTGTAGCTTCGACCAGGCACTCTGGCCACAGGCATTTGTTGTTAGAGCCTTTAAGCCTGCCGTTTGCCTCCTTGGTCCATGGCTCTCTCTTGTTAGGGCGTTCAACAAGCCTGCCGTTTGCCCACCCCTTAAAACCCCTAAAATATCCCGCGCCAGCTTCCACCAGGCACTCTGGCCACAGGCATTTGGTCTTAGAGCCTTGAAGCTTGCCGTTTGCCGCCATGGCCCTCTGTTGTTAGGGCGTTCAAGCCTGCCGTTTGCCAGCCTTCCAACCCTTAAAATAGCTCCGACCAGACACTCTCCAGGCATTTGTTGTTAGAGCCTTGAAGCCTGCCGTTTGCCACCATGGCCCTCTCCTCCAACCCTTAAAATTCCCCGCGGCACAGGCACTCTGGCCACAGGGATTTTTTCTTAGAGCCTTGAAGCCTGCCGTTTGCCTCCATGGTCCATGGCCCTCTCTTGTTAGGGCGTTCAAGCCTGCCGTTTGCCCCCCCGGCAGCTTCGACCGGCACTCTGGCCACAGGCGTTTGTTGTTAGAGCCTTGAAGCCTGCCGTTTGCCAGCCCTCAAACCCCTAAAATCCCGCACAGCAGCTACTCTGGCCAAGGGCATTTGTTCTTAGAGCCTTGAAGCCTGCCGTTTGCCTCCATGGCCCTCTGTTGTTAAGGCGTTCAAGCCTGCCGCTTGCCCGCCCTGAAACCCCTAAAATGTCCTGCGGCAGCTTTGACCGGGCGCTCTGGCCACAGGCATTTGGTCTTAGAGCCTTGAAGCCTGCCGTTTGCCTCCATGGCCGTCTCTTGTTAGGGCGTTCAAGCCTGCCGTTTGCGCGCCCTAAAATCGTTAAAATGTCCCGCGGAAGCTTCGACCGGGCACTCTGCCAGGCACTCTGGCCACAGGCATTTGTTCTTAGAGCCTTGAAGCCTGCCGTTTGCCACCATGGCCCTCTGTTGTTAGGGCGTTCGAGCCTGACGTTTGCCAGCCCTCCAACCCTTAAAATTTCGCGGCAGCTTCGACCAGGCACTCTGGCCGCTGGCCACAGGCATTTGGTCTTAGAGCCTTGAAGCCTGCCGTTTGCCTCCATGGTCCATGGCCCTCTATTGTTAGGGCGTTCAAGCCTGCCGCTTGCCCCCGCTTAAAACCCCTGAAATGTCCCGCGCCAGCTTCGATGATGCTTACTTACCGTTTGCCTCCATGGCCTCTGCTGTTACGTTGTTCAAGCCGCAAGCCTGCCGTTTGCCATCCCTCAAACCCCTAAAATCCCGTGCGATAGCTTCGACCAGGCACTCTGGCCACGGGCATTTGTTCTTAGAGCCTTGAAGCTTGCTGTTTGCCTCCATGGCCCTCTCTTGTTAGGGCGTTCAAGCATGCCGTTTGCCGGCCCTCAAACCCCTAAAATGTCCCGCGGCAGCTTCGACCAGGCACTCTGGCCACAGGCATTTGTTGCCTCCATGGCCCTCTCTTGTTAAAGCGTTCAAGCCTGCCGTTTGCCCCCTTAAAACCCCTAAAATGTCCCGTGGCAGCTTCGACCAAACACTCTGGCCACAGGCATTTGGTCTGAGAGCCTTGAAACCTGCCGCTTGCCTCCATGGCCCTCTGTTGTTAAGGCGTTCAAGCCTGCCGTTTGCCCGTCCTCAAACCCCTAAAATGTCCCGCGGCAGCTTCGACCAGGCACTCTGGCCACGGCATTTGTTCGTAGAGCCTTGCCCTCCATGGCCCTCTTTTTTTTAGGGCGTTTCACGCTTGCCGTTTGCAAGCCCTCAAACCCCTAAAATGTCCCGCGCAGCTTCGACCAGCCACTCTAGCCACAGGGATTTGGTCTGAGAGCCTTGAAGCCTGCCGTTTGCCTCCATGGCCCTCTGTTGTTAGGGCGTTCAAGCATGCCGTTTGCCAGCCTTCCAGCCCATAAAATCACCCACGGCAGCTTCGACCACGCACTCTGGCCACAGGCATTTGTTGTTAGAGCCTGGAAGCCTCCCGTTTGCCTCCATTGCCCTATGTTGTTACGGCGTTCAAGCCTCCCGTTTGCCAGCCCTCAAACTCCTATAATCCCACTCGGCAGCTTCGACCAGGCACTCTGGCCACGGCATTTGTTCGTAGAGCTTTGAAGCCTGCCGTTTGCCTCCATGGCCCTCTCTTGCTAGGGCGTTCAAGCCTGCCGTTTGCCAGCCCTCAAACTCTTAAAATCCCACGCGGCAGCTTCGACCAGGAACTCTGGCCACAGGCATTTGTTCGTAGAGCTTTGAAGCCTGCCGTTTGCCTCCATGGCCCTCTCTTGTTAGGGCGTTCAAACCTCCCGTTTGCCAGCCCTCCAACCCTTAAAATCCTGCGCGGCAGCTTCGACCAGGCACTCTGGCAACAGGCATTTGGTCTTAGAGCCTTGAAGCCTGCCGTTTGCCTCCATGGCCCTCTGTTGTTACGGCGTTCAAGCCTGCCGTTTGCCCCCCGCTTAAAACCCCTAAAATGTTTCGCGGTGTTTTCATGAGGCACTCTGGCCACAGGCATTTGCCGTTAAAGCCTGGAAGCCTCCCGTTTGCCTCCATTGCCCTATGTTGTTACGGCGTTCAAACCTCCCGCTTGCCAGCCCTCAAACTCCTATAATCCCACTCGGCAGCTTCGACCAGGCACTCTGGCCACGGCATTTGTTCGTAGAGCTTTGAAGCCTGCCGTTTGCCTCCATGGCCCTCTCTTGCTAGGGCGTTCAAGCCTGCCGTTTGCCAGCCCTCAAACTCTTAAAATCCCGTGCGGCAGCTTCGACCAGGAACTCTGGCCACAGGCATTTGTTCGTAGAGCTTTGAAGCCTGCCGTTTGCCGTTTGCCAGCCCTCAAACTCTTAAAATCCCGTGCGGCAGCTTCGACCAGGAACTCTGGCCACAGGCATTTGTTCGTAGAGCTTTGAAGCCTGCCGTTTGCCTCCATGGCCCTCTCTTGTTAGGGCGTTCAAGCCTGCCGTTTGCCCCCCCGGCAGCTTCGACCGGCACTCTGGCCACAGGCGTTTGTTGTTAGAGCCTTGAAGCCTGCCGTTTGCCAGCCCTCAAACCCCTAAAATCCCGCGCAGCAGCTACTCTGGCCAAGGGCATTTGTTCTTAGAGCCTTGAAGCCTGCCGTTTGCCTCCATGGCCCTCTGTTGTTAAGGCGTTCAAGCCTGCCGCTTGCCCGCCCTGAAACCCCTAAAATGTCCTGCGGCAGCTTTGACCGGGCGCTCTGGCCACAGGCATTTGGTCTTAGAGCCTTGAAGCCTGCCGTTTGCCTCCATGGCCCTCTGTTGTTACGGCATTCAAGCCTGCCGTTTGCCCCCGCTTAAAACCCCTAAAATGTCCTGCGGCAGCTTCCACCAGGCACTCTGGCCACAGGCATTTGTTCGTAGAGCTTTGAAGCCTGCCGTTTGCCTCCATGGCCCTCTCTTGTTAGGGCGTTCAAGCCTGCCGTTTGCCAGCCCTCAAACCCCTAAAATCGGATGCGGCAGCTTTGACCAGGCACTCTGGCCACGGACATGTGTTCTTAGAGCCTTGAAGTCTGCCGTTTGCCTCCATGGCCCCCTCTTGTTAGTGCGTTCAAGCCTGCCGTTTGTCCACCCTCAAACCCCTAAAATGTCCTGCGGCAACTTCGACCAGGCACTCTTAGAGCCTTGAAACCTGCCCTTTGCCTCCATGGCCCTCTGTCGTTAGGGCGTTCAAGCCTGCCCGTCCTCAAACCCCTAAAACGTCCCCCGGCAGCTTCGACCAGGCACTCTATGGCCACAGGCATTTGTTCTTATAGAGCCTTGAAGCCTGCCGTTTGCCTCTATGGCCTTTGTTGTTACGGCGTTCAAGCCTGCCCTTTGTAGCTTGCCGTTTGCCTCGATGGCCCTCTCTTGTTAGGGCGTTCAACATGTCCCGCGGCAGCGACCAGGCACTCTGGCCACAAGCATTTGGTCTTAGAGCCTTGAAGCCTGCCGTCCTCTGTTGTTAGGGCGTTCAAGCCTGCCGTTTGCCAGCCCTCCAACCCTTAAAATTTCGCGGCAGCTTCGACCAGAAACTCTGGCCACAGGCATTTGTTGTCAGAGCCCCGACATGGCCCTGTGTTGTTAGGGCGTTCAAGCCTTCCAACCCTTAAAATCCCCCGCGGCAGCTTCGAACAGGCACTCTGGCCACAGGCATGTGGTCTTAGAGCCTTGAAGCCTGCCGTTTGCCTCCATGGCCCTCTCTTGTTAAGCGTTCAAGCCTCCAGCCTTCCATGTCCCTCTGGCCACAGGCATTTGTTGTTAGAGTCTTGAAGCTTGCCGTTTGCCAGGCATTTGTTGTTAGAGCCTTCAAACCTCTCGTTTGCCTCCATGGCCCTCTGTTGTTAGGGCGGTCAAGGCTGCCGTTTGCCGGTACTCTGGCGACAGGCATTTGTTGTTAGAGCCTGGAAGCCTGCCGTTTGCCTCCATGGCCCTCTGTTGTTAGGGCGTTCAAGCCTGCCGTTTGCCAGCCCTCAACCCCTTAAATCCCGTGCGGCAGCTTCGACCAGGCACTCTGGCCACAGGCATTTGTTCGTAGAGCTTTGAAGCCTGCCGTTTGCCTCCATGGCCGTCTCTTGTTAGGGCGTTCAAGCCTGGCGTTTGCCCGCCCTAAAATCGTTAAAATGTCCCGCGGCAGCTTCGACCAGGCACTCTCGCCACAGGCATTTGGTCTTAGAGCCTTGAAACCTGCCGTTTGCCTCCATGGCCCTCTGTTGTTAGGGCCCTCAAACCCCTATGAAAATTTCAAAAAATGGACATACGTCGGGCTTTCCCCCGAATGATCTTTGAATTTTGCAGGTTCTGCTATAAGTCTAGGTACTCTTACTTTGCTTCGCCTCCGCTGAAATTGCTGCGGTCACCGCCCCCCCAAAGAGGGAGGGGTCGGCGGCACCCGGGCGCTAGCCCATTCTATAAGATTTTGAGGGCTGGGTCCACTCCTGAGGATCAGGGCAGCATTCCCGTGTCACAGGGCAAGCGCTTCTGGCTAAGGCCATGTTCTTGCTGATGTTTCTCTATCCTCTCCTCCTCCTCCCCCTCCTCCTCCTCTCCTCCTCCTCCTGCTAATGTTTCTTCTGCTTCTGCCTCTGCCTCTGCTTCTCCTCCTCCTTCTTCTTCTCCTTCTTCTTATTCTTGCGATTTTGCGGGTTTGGGGTGAGCGGGCGTGAGTAGTTTGAAGGCAGGAATTGAGAAGAACTCCTGAAAACTATGAAAACTGACCTCGCGGGCGCCTTTTGGAGGGGGATGGGTGGGTCAAGTCAGCTGAGTCGGGCACAACCACCAAGTCATATATGAGTGACTGGGATGTGACTGGGTAAGTCAGAAAATGTTGAGAGGTGAGTCAAGTACCGTTTGCCCTATATAAATAATTTCACCCTATAGCGGTTGACGTCTTTTCTTTACCTGTCTGAAAATTGGTTTGTGATCGTTTCACTCTGCAACCATGTCTATCTGTGTCTGACTCAGACACTATGGATGTCTGACTCTGCAATTTGCCTTCTCCGGCTTGACTCGGCCATCGGGGCGCTTACTCCCCCAACCCTCCCTCTTGGACAGGCATTCTTCGAAAGATTTAATCAACATCTTTGGTATCCTGCAAACTGTTTCAATATCTTTCGCCCGGTTCCACTGTCAACTGAGAGACTGCCCCAAACCAAAGAAGATCAGCTTCGATTGGAAATCAAACAAGCGCTCGATGTTGGTTTGCAGGGCGATATTGGAGAGCCTGATGTTAGTGTTGATGACGTTGTTGCCCTGTTTGACTGCATCCTCTGTACAGTACAGATCGCACAAAATCCTGGAGATGCCAGTTTGAATGGGGTTGTCATCAAGCCATCCAGCCAAGTTGAAGTCCTCCATATCCTTTGCTTGATTCGTACCGGTGTCGTCAGGTTTGCGGGGAGTTGGGATTGCATCAACCTCACCCCCACCTGGAATGGAAAGTTTTTGTGGCTTCTGCGGGGTTGCGTCTTTATTCGGACTCTCCTTCTTAGCCGTGAGGTCAATGGTAGTCCTTCCTGATAGTGAGACAATTTGGCGCCCATCCTCAATAGCGTCCCCGACATCGGCAACTACCTCGAATCTCTCTTGCCCACTTTTACGTTGCCTCTTCAATTTGGTCTGCCTTGCTGGGCTTTCCTTTGGTACAGGACTGTTGGCGCCACTGACAGCATTACTCCTGGCCCTTGCTGGTGGCCGTTGGGTGACTGCCGCGGATCGTGGTCGACTAGCGGGAAGATTCTTGGGTTTGGCAGTGGCAGCCGCCTTTGCCGCTTTGGCCCCTTGCAAACCCCCTTCAAAACCGGCTTCTGCGCCCTCTTCCCCAGGTGTTGCCCAAGACCCTGGTCCAAATGCTGCAATTGCACCTGCAATGATGGTAATGCCGAATTCAACAAAGTCCATGATTTTCTCAAACACCGCAATGTCGGCATCAAACTTGGCCTGCCCAACCTCGCCCACACCCCGCACATATTCCCGATCAATGTCCCTTTGAGTCAGTGTCCAAAACTTTTGCTCGTCCATCTGCTTCTCGTAGGTGTGGAAGCAAGGGTGCTTGGCTGCAGGGCATGTTTTTGGATTTTTCTTACAGTTGATCTTGCTCAAATCCCGTCTCTGATTGAGATCGCAAAATTCATCATAGACCAAATTCTCGGGTTTGAAGCTCACCAGCTCAGGTCTGATTGGTCTTTCAGATGGGAAGGGCTCCTGCTTCTCAACTGTCTGAATAAAGCGTGCAGGGAACTCAGCCACTGGAGCAGCAGTGTAGAGGAAGGGGATCGTACCTGTGATCTCGATGAAACTGCTGTCCCAGGCTTCAACGACTGCACCACGGGTGTCCTCAGCATCCTCAGTTCTGCACACCCCAACCAAGCCGTATGGACCGCTCTGTGTCTGTTGCAAAAGCTTGGCACCGCAACGCTGCAGAGCATATTCCAACTTGGGACTCCAGCTGGAAACCGTGGCGTCACCAACCACCACTATCGTCTCAGGTTCGAGACTATTCAGGTATGCTGCGGCGTTATCCGCATTCAGTACGACACTGATGTCACCAAAGTTCCGGTAATCTTGGAACCGATGTGTGAGGGGGCTTAGGACCAGCAAATTGAAGTCACTGTTCACGAGATCAGTGCTGTTGAAGAGGGTGCCATCCAGCCGGAAGGAAACAAACGTTGTTTGGTTGTCAGCGGTGGCGTTCCTCGCGCTCACATCTACACGTCTCACCTGAGCCCAATGACTTGACCCACAGCACCCTGGGGCGATGTTGTGTCTATTGCAATGGGAGAAATCATCGATTTTTTTTGGATCCAAAACATCATAAACAATCCGCAATGACTTGCCAGAAATTTGGCTGATCTTATAATCGTTTAAAAAATTCCCCAAGGGGAGGTATGCCTCTCCTTCGAATTGGGAAAATGAGTTGCAAAGCCATTAAAATCTTAAGACGCAATCGAATTCATCAGTGCGTCGGTCACGATTTACTGGCATCAAAAAAAAGGATTTCAACCACACAACAATCGAAACATCATCAACCCACCTCCGCAGGCGCGGTCGTCTCTGCAGCGGTGGTGAAATCTTGTGGCTGAAAGGCCTTGCTGACGACTCCACCCATCTGCTTGGAGAGGCCTTCGAACAGACAACCTCGGAAAGCTGCGGATTCATGTGGATGTGTTGCTCTTTAATCATCTGTGTTATTGTATTCTCTATAAATACATACATACATACATACATACCTACCTACATACCTACCTACCTACCTACCTACCTACATACATACATACATTACATTACATTACATTGCATTACATTACATTACATTGCATTACATAACATACATACATACATACCTACATACATACATACATACATACATACACACACATACATACATACATACATACATACATTACATTACATTACATTACATTGCATTACATTACATTACATACATACATACATACATACATATATTATCTATGTATATATATATATATTATATATATACACTATATACACTTTATAACATGCCATATACGACGTGTGAATTTGGTACGGAATCGTCAACAGCCCACCAGTTTTCCGTGTAGCGGCACGACTCAAGGGCCCTAAGATCCAAACGGCAACAGCATACACATGTCGACCCGGGCTTCAAAAGAGTGTGACATGAGGTCAAAATGACACTATGTATCATATACTACACAGGGTATAATATCAGATGAACCGTATGTGATACAAGATCATATATGATATTATGGTGTACTATGATATTATATATATATATTACATAATATATATTGTCTAACATATGATATGATCTATATATTAATGGAATTAAATGTGTATATATATATATATTATATATATTTATTTATCTGTTTATGTGAAGTTGCATGCCACGCACTTAGGTTCATACTGTGACATACCTCCTTTTTCACCATTTCACTTTGATGTTTGCATGTCAGGAACCCAAACAGGATTCCAATTCAGCCTTCCCTTCGCCGCTGGCTCATAGGGCGGGCGTGCACTCCAGATGGCTACGCATGCCTTGGAAAAGGCACGACTTGCGACAGCAGCTTGGCACCTCGTGTGGCTAGGCTGGACGGTGTTTCTTGCAGTTGCCGTCTTTGCATTGGTAGCGGAGCCGGCTTTCTACGGCTGGCTGAGCCCAAGCTGGATCTTGGGAGCTGGACTACTTTCTTGTGAATACCAAGTACCTTGGTCAGATCTTCCAGCCCCACATTTAGATCCTGGAATTCGAAGGTGTGATCACACAACTATGAGTGCTTCAGCATCGCCGATTTCTGCTGAAGCGAGCCCTAGCAGTTTGTTGCGGGATTCCTTCATCCCGACCTTCACAGGACAGCCTGAGGACTATCGGGAGTGGCGTCGTCGGATCACCCTGTATCATCACAAAATGAAGTTGGGAAAACGGGGTGGTGAATCTGTCCTGAACATCGTGAGTTCTCTAACTGGTGCTGCATGGCGTCTTTTGGAAAATTTTGATGTTTCTACTGCAAAAGGTGACAATACGTTTGATGACATCATGAAGAAGTTGGATCAACATTTTCAGTATGATGATCGAGTTCAATTGCCTGGGGACTTTGATGCATATTTTGGTATATGTGACACTTCATGATGAATACAACTTACAACCGTAGGCTTCAGCGACATGGCATCGAACTTCCTGAGGCTGTTCAGGGATGGCACTTGCTTCGCAGGTGCAATTTGACCAAGGAACAGCGCCAGCTCATCAATCTTCGTGCTCCTCAGCTTGAGAAGAAGAAGGTCATCGAAGCTCTGTACTTGGTGCTTGGCCAAGACCATCGGGCAGCATCAGGTCCTCATCTTGAGCGTCGATGGCAAGGCAAAGGGCATCGTGGACGGTCCTACAACGTCCAGGATGAGCACATTGATGAAGAGCTCTATGGCACCGAGGACTATGATGGTTCAGAGGCATGGGATGAGTCTGGGTACTATGAATGTGATCCTTCACCATCTCATCAGGATGAGGCTGAGTACTATGAAGACACCGAAGCTTTTGATGCAAGTGCTGCATACTATCAATATGATGATGAAACAGCTGAAGAACATCCCTGGCATGACGTTGAATCATATGACCAGGCTTGTGCAGCATACTTGGATGCCAGGAAGAGGTTCAACGATTTGAAAGTGTCCCGAGGCTATTTGCCTGTGGTTGCCTTGACAGACCCTGCGGCTGGCAATGTGAGTCCTGGTGTTCTTTCACCTTCATCAGCTGGGTCATCTCCCAAGGGGAAGAAGGGCAAGTCAAAGGGCACTTCATCCAAAGGAAAGCCTTCCTCCACCTTCAAGTACACCAAGCCCCCTGCGAAGGGTGTGGATCCTCGTGGCCGGCAAAGGCGACCTTGACTTGTCTCAGATGCGGACAACCTGGCCACTTCGCTGCAAATTGTCCAGTGCCCTCCAAAGGTGGTGTCAAGCGACCAGCAGCTGAGTCGGTTGCCTTGACTGAGAATGCCCATGTGACTTTTCAAGATGCACAAGGTCATGAACGTCCTGATGTTGCCAGGTGCATCGGCATTCTTGAGCGGTTTTGGCCCAGCTCGCAGGTATCCGATGTACCTCGAGTCCCAGGGTTATCCCGTCGATGAGGTCAAGTTCAACCGCTGCCGACACAAGTTCCACTTTGGAGGAGACGGTGAATCATGGAGCCACTGGGTGGTACAATTGCCCATGTGCTTGGATGGACGTTTGGGTAGTGCTCAGGTGTTTCTACTTGCTGGTGAGACCCCATTGCTTTGTGGCCGACCCATCATTGAGGCTCTTGGACTTTCTATGGACTTTGCCTCACGAGCCATACGATTTCATGATGGGGCGTGGCAGTCTGCCACACTTGGACTTCACGGAGAATATCTCTTGCCCCTCTGGAATCCAGAGCAGCCGATTCTTGACTTTGGGTCTTTGGACTTTGACCTGCGGCTTGCTCCTGATGGGGAGGTGGATCCACAATGCATCACCTTCCGGCAGTTCACCACTGAAGAAGCTGCCTTCTCCACGATGGACTTCGAGGAGACTCCATTGGACTTTGGAGAACAAGTGCTCCGGCCTCATCAGCTCCAAACTTTTGAGCAGTGCATTCTGGAGGACCACAACAACTACCATGGCTATGTGACCCAAGAACTTCACTCCACACCAAAACCTCGGTTGATTTGGGAGGTTTACACAAGTCATGGCCGACTGTCTTCAGTAGCAGCTGCTCTTGGTGCTCAGGTGGAAGTCTTCGGCTACTCTACTGGCTGGGACTTTGATGACTTGGAGCGATTGGAAGCTGAATGCCCGGATGAGCTGTTTCTCTCGCCATCCTGTGGACCCTGGTCGACTATGCACAACTTGAATGCCCGCACGGAAGAACAGCAGCATCAACTTCAAGAACTCCGTGAATGGCATCATTCTCGACATTTGCAGTTTGTCAAGAAAGCTTACTTGACACAAGTTCGACAGGGAGGACATGCTCATGTGGAACAACCTGCTCATGCCTTGTCTTGGCGCACATCAGCACTGGTCAAGCTTCCTGGCTACCAGTCTTTGATCAATGCCGTTTTGGCTGCTGTTGTCAGAATGATGAGGGCGACTGGCTTTTGGTTAAGAAACCCACTGCACTTCAGACCACCAAGCTCTCCGTCTTCAAGGAGTTTCATCAAGTTCGGTGCACTGGCGATCATCAACATTGCCCTTTGGAAGGCTCGGCCGTTGGATTTGGCCGTCGAACACGATACCTTGAGAGCTATCAACCTGGCCTTGCTTCAGTGTTGGCCGCAGCTCTCATGGTCGATGAGCCTCCTTCCATCAGTGACTTCGTTGGCGCTGTTGGAGAAGATCGCCAACATGTGGGTGCCCACATCAAGCTGATGACCACCAATCGAGTTGAAGCAGTCCGAACGGTGCAGAGATTGCATCGCAACCTTGGGCATCCAGCAGCCTCGTCGCTTGTCGAGCTGTTGGAAAGCCGTGAGCCTCTGATGAAGTGCTGGAAGCTGCTCGCACGGATCATTGTGCTGCATGTGAGAGGTACCGGAAGCCCAATCAACCATCTCCTGCATCACCTCCTTCGACTTTGACTTTCAACCAAGAAGTGCAGGCAGATGTGATGTGGCTCAAAATCCACCACAAGAAGTACCCTCTCTTGCACATGGTTGACGTTGCCACCAAGTATCAATCAGCTGCTCTCCTTCACGGTGAACGCACTGAAGACTACTGCAAAGCCTTGGAACGTCACTGGTTTCGACACTTTGGCACTCCCGCAGTTCTCATCACCGATGAGGGGAGGGGTTGGGCTTCGGATGAAATGGAGTCCTTCTTTGCTGATCACAACATCCGACATGTGGTGGCACCTGGTGGAGCCCACACGAGACTTGGGGCAGTTGAACGAAGACATGCCATCCTTCGCAAGAGCATCGAGATCTACATGACGGATCGCTCTTTGACTTCCCGTGATGGACTTCGTGAAGCCATGGCCTATGTCCTTCCTCAGGTCAACTCAGCTCCTACTGTGGCCGGCTACTCGCCTTCTCAATGGGTACTTGGATTTCAACCCAACTTCCCTGGTGATCTTCTTGGGGATGGACTTAACCCCGCTCACCTTGGAGGTTCTGAGACTTTTGAGGCCCTGCTGCAACGACGAACTGCAGCCAAGATGGCTCCTGTGAAGGCTGATCAAGATCAACGACTACGCCGTGCCCTCCTGAGGAAGTACTCCGGCACCAACGCTCCTCTTCAGAGCGGCCAGATTTGCTGGTACTGGAGGGATGCCAGAGCATCCGACTTGGTGAAGATCCGATGGAAAGGGCCTGCTCGCGTGATCTTGCGCGAGGATGATGATGAGGGCAAACCAGTGACATACTGGATAGCACATGGCACTCAACTTCTTCGCTGTGCGCCTCATCATTTTCACGCAGACTTTCAACAAGCTGACACGACGGTGATTGGTGGACTTGAAGAGGCCAGACGTTCAGTGATGGAGCTCAAGTCGAGAGGCGTCACTCGTTTCATCGACCTCGAGAAGGCGAACAAACGACAGATCGAGGACATCCAGTCCGATGATGAAGCCATGGATGATGACCTTGATGGCCCTCCACGGCAGCGCCCTCGCCTTGACCTTCCTGGCGTCACTGGTCCTATGACACCAAACACCGGTGCCTGAGCCCTTGCTTGAGTTGGATGAGCTTGATGTCAGTCCAACCCCAACAACACCACTTCCTGACTCTGATGGCCAACCCATTCCAGTTGATGATGATGATGATGATGATATGGCTTCAACTCCCTTGGCTGCTCCACCACCCCTTCCAGCAGTTCCTGAAGTTCCTTTGAGCGAGACAGATGAACCAGAGCCTAGTGGAGAACCCTCCGTTCCTCCTTCCACCAGGTCTCTTGGTCCACAACCAGCACTTGATGCCGAGACAGCTGCTTTGTATGAGCCTGCAGGCCCTGAGGAGTTTTCTCAGCGGCGACTTCGATATGATCAGCAAGAGACGCTGATGTTTGGTCCTGCTGTTCGCAGAGTACAACGGCCCTCGCCATACTCTGGTCATCGATCGAATGACCCCTTTGCTCCAATTGCACCGCTGCCTCAATTTCCTCCTGATGATGATTCCCCACCACAGGAAGGTTTTTCTCAAGCCTTTGCAGTGGAAGATCTTGGGTCAGATCAACTACCTCCTGGCTGGCACATGAACTCTGATGGCTACTTGTGCCTCACCGACCAGGTGTCTGACTGTTGGGAGGTCCGAGCCGGGTCTCTCCTTCGACATCATTTGAGCCCTCGGCACTTCACCATCGATGTGAAGGAGTTCAAGGACACCCCTAAGTTTTTTTCCGGCTATTCGGGGTTGGCTGGCGCATCCGGGGTTGGCAGGAAACATATCCAATATTAGGCCAAGAAGGTATGCCATGATGAGTTGACTGCGATGGCGGCCAATTCCTTGATATGATTGGCCTACTACATTCTAGCTCAGCTCCACTACCATTTACTCTGTGAAACATTGCTTGCATTGAAGCTGCTGGCCCAATTGTGAATTCTTATGCCGGCACGATTGCTCTTTGCTATAGGGCAATGAGTAATTATGCCAGCATGATTGCACTCAAGCATTGGAACCTAATTTCACTGTTGCCCGCACCTCGCAACTTCAACTAATATTCATTGCTTCTGCATCGCAAATTTTTCGAAACTTCCGCCCCGGCATGGGCCAGGCACTAAAAATGATCTATGCAGTGAAAACAGCAATATATGGGAAATAATATATATGTATATACAAATATATTATGTGTGTATATATATCTATATATTATATAATTATAGTATATGTGTATAACTTACACCTTGCGCAGCAAAGAAGACGACCCCTTCGCCAATGAATAGAAAAACTTTCAGCCATGAGCCCTGTGTCCCTGACCCCATGGGGTCAACATTCATTGCCATTGAAGATGCTGCAGCGAACGCTCAGCGCGAGTCCCTCGCAGTGTTTTTTTTTCGCAGCTGGCGCATGTCTCAGAATCAACATGAAGCCGGATTAAACCACAGCGCCACACGCAGCGTGCAGACAAATCATCATGATTTGCGGCTGCGACTTACAAGGGGCATGAAGTCAAGTTGCGGAAAAAACGGCAGAGATTTTTAATCTGCATGCTTGCAAACTTACCAGCCAGCCATGACAAAACAAAATGAACTTGAAGGCTACTATTTGAGGTGCTATCACAGCATGTGGCTGGCCACTTTCAAAACAAACTCTATCAGTCAGCCTCAGCCACGGCATCATCTTCCATCGGCTGCTCCTCCTCTGGCGCCTCTCCGCCCTCGTCTGCACCTTCCGCAGCAGCTGGCGCAGCCTCTGCTGAGGTCAACGTCACCCGAGCCCGAATAGTTGCTGCAGCAGCTTCTCCCATCATCATCGCCTTATGCAAGGCAAAACGTGATTGGCTGCGGAAACACTTCCAACAACCAACTGTTAAAGATCACTGATTCTCAGAGTTAAATGTGGCAGCGAAAGCCACTATTATTTCCTGAGTTGATGACCGCTAGTTGCTTCACGTCCTCCTTAGACTTTCCTTTTTCAAGCTCTTGGCGACAAGTCTCCTCCAAAAAAGGTGCCATGAAGGAGGGACAAAAACTTAAACAGGGTTCGAACATTGGACAGCGCGCTAGAACCAAGGGCTGTCACACACGAATTTTAAAACGTTCATGTCGATTAGACATTGAATTGCCTTGACATTTAAACTTTGTCAACCTGTCCGCGATCTCCATGTGCTTCTCGGGGTTCACGTCGGGGTTGTACTTGATCTAGCAGGGAGCGCAAGTCTTCAAAAGAACATGGAGCCAGGGCAACAGAAAATCAAAGCAAAAGGGATCAAGCTAAAGGTGAACCAAGTTGTAATTTCGAGCCAAACCCGACCGTAAGCTGCTCTTTTCCATTAACCTTGCACCCCCATTTCTGGTCTTTGTGGTACATATACTTCGTGGCTTTCAAAGCATGACTCTGCGCCGCAGCAGGGCGTCTCATAGCAGGCCGTCTCGGAGCGGAAGGCGCAGGCGCCTCAGCATCAGGAGCTGCTCCAGCGCCTGCTGCTTCAACCTCATCCAAAGCAGCCTCATCAGCCACAGCTTCAGCCTCTTGCGGAGAGCCAGAGCTGATTGCCGCGGCCGGCCGCTTCTTGGCTGAGGATTTCACCTTAGGAGCGGCTTTACCTTTCGCTCCTGCTTTGGCCTTGGCTTTCCCGGCCCCCTTGGCTTTCGCTTTGGGTGCCATCGCCGGCTCTTCATCCTCACCTTCAGCTTGACTTTTAACTTTTGAAGGCTCACCCACGGCCTCTGGCCCTGCTTCCGCATCGGCCTCAGGCTCGCGGGCCTTGGCTTTGGACTTGGCTGCAGTCAGAACTGCGGCGGCGGCTGACGCTGACCCTGTGTTGGGGCCACCATGGCCGTCATCATCTGACAGCACCTCCACGTCGAGTTTCGTCATGATGCGCCGAAAGGGTCAGGGGTCAAAGCATCACGCCTTGATGACAAATGGACTATAGCAATCAAATGCGATATTGAATTTGATACACCGCACCAAGAGACAGCTCAATGCCAACCAACAATGGATGCATCAAATCCGTTGGCTGGGAGCTGTTCATTTTTGGTCTCAGCAAGTCTGACGTCGATCGCTCTAATGCTGACATCGGAATGGAAAATGAATTGGATAAATTTGCGACCATCTCTAAGGCCGTCAAGTCAAAATGCTGCGAAGCTTCCAAAACACAATGGATCATCTTAAGTTTCTAGTAAGTAGTGATGGAAAAATGACTTCCCGAGAAATTTGGCAGTGCACAGCTCGCAGGCCCAGAGCCACTGAGTTCCTATGCCGAAAGCCGAATGGCCGTGCCAGCCTTGACATTGACGCTACACAAAAGCCAAAACTTCGGCTTCAAAGTTCGCACTCTGGAATGCTCCATCTTCACCTGCGGGTGAAAAAACAGCTTCACTCAGTGGTGAAAGGACAATGAACATAAATTAAAGCGCGAAGGGATTATGGTCAAAATTGGAAAAGAACTCAGACAATTCTTGCTGTTAAAGGACTTCCCACAGCGTAGATGCCCTGGTAGTTTTCGGGACATGCTTCAAGCCACCATCACGTGCGAGATACACAGCCCCAAACATGCTGTAGCGAAGTTCCATCATTGAGCTGCCATCGGATTCAGGCAGCTTCTTCGGTTCGAAAAAATTCAGCTTGGGGTTCCCTTTGATGTCATATCGGAAAGGCAGTGGGGTCCCGTCCTGGTCAAATAATAACGGTTCAAAAACATCACGGCCCAAATCCTGTCTAACGGTCCACACCTCAACATGTCAGAACATCATCACCATCAACAACATCATTATCATCCTCATCATCATCATCATCATCATCACGGTTGCCAAAATCTGCGACTCAGACTGAGACCCGCTCCTCCGCAAACCTCTGGGTGATGCTGTGATCCTCCAACGTCAGTTCGGTAAGACCTGTGGTCTTGGCCACCAAACACGCAAGGTTCGCGAAGCACATAGGTGTTTTCTTGCCATCCACAAAGGCCAGGAGGTCTGTGTCTTGGGTCAAGTTGAAAATGATCCCAGCATCTTGCTGGGAAAGCGCAACACCTGCCATGGCCACGGCAAAAAAACAAAAACAGACAGCTTGTTATAGGGTCAAGGACCACTCACTACGCACTAGCCTCGGGGCTTCTCTTGGAAGCTCCCCAGGTTGTAACCAAAGAGCTCTGCAGGGCCACACTGAATGTCGTCACCGCCAAAATTGCACAGCCACAGCTTGTTGTCGGACGTCAGCATGATCTCCAGCTTGTCTTCCGTAGCAGCACGTGTCGATGCACAGGGCCTGGAGCCAGTGCACATTGATGGACAAGTCTAGGTAAGACTGGACTCCTCACAAAGAGGGTTTAACTCAAATCAAGTTCATTGGCTAAATTTTTGCCCAAGCACGTTTGCTGGCTTTCAAACTCTGATTGGAGGACAGAGGGCGGATTCTCCCAAACATCATGAGGGTTCAGTGGGGCATCCTCCGGTGTGAAGGACGGCTCACACTGGGTGCGGGCATTGGCAGCCTGAGCTGCACCTGTCAGTCGACAATTCAATGCAATGTTGAGATGGTGCAAGTGCAAATCAAACTTTGCCATCCAGCCTCTTGGCCTCGGCGTTGCCTTGGCAGCGGCCTGCCCCAGGCCCAAGGCAGCGCACCCAGACGGAGATCTGCCAGCATTCCACTTCGACACCAGCTTCTCAATTTCGTTCGCTCGCAAGCCCAACGTGGACTTCCAACTTGCTGGCAGCCTCTGGGGCGGCCCAAAAGATGCCAGAGCAGCGGCGCATGAAAATCAAACTGCTTCAGGTTCAAAGTATTTTCTTACCACTGCAGGCCATGGAACACCAATTTTCCATTGTCAACCGCCAAAACTTCCAACTCGGGGCGAGGTTCGTCAAAAGGGGCAGCGGCCCGAGTTGCTGGGCCTGCCTCTGAAGATGAATCCCAATACTCCTCAGAGGTCAGGTGCCACTGACAGGGAGACAAAATCCCAGCGCTGCTCCCAAACTGAAGCTGCACTGACCAAGGGCCTGGCAGCAATGATGTGACCAGCCATCCAATTTTGGACTTCCGCGATGTTGAGCACGTAAGTGTCATCTTCTGACACACATGCCAGAAAACGCCAGTCCAGCTGCGCAGCCACACCTCTGCCCTTGTTCTGGAAGTTGGCATGCTGCAGCTCCCAGCAAGCTCTTCCCCACTCGTTGTACCTTAGATTTAACTAAGCCACCTGCTGCAGCTGGCATGTACTAGGTGGGTTGCAACAAGTAAAGGCGACACCAGAGAGCGACACAGACACACACAGACACTGAATGATAGTAGCCCAGCTGCCGCGTCACCATTAGATCAACCACAAAGATTGGTGTTCGATCACCCTCTGGAAGCTCTAGCCCGTCAACGAAACTTTCGAGGATCTCGCGTGTCCCCGGGACACCACGTTGAATGACCTCACACGCATGCAAGGTTCAAAAATTTCAGTGCGCGCTTTTATTTTGAATCCAAAGGCCTAAGGCTTCAGCTGCACAAAAGGAATTGACAGTATCAAGGCTTTTGAACTTGAGGTGCGGACACGCTGGGATGTATTTGGGGGCCGGTCCAAGTCGTCACTCCAAAGGTCCATCACTCTGGCTCTGGACACCGGGCCAATCAAGCCAAGCAATGCTTTCGACTTCGCAAAACCAAAAGTGGACCGGTGAACTGGTTGCACTGCTGCCAAACCTGATGGTGGAACAATGGGCCAGCGGCAAGCCCAACAACTAACACCGCAGAACAAGAATGCAATAGGAATGAAATTGGCTGGGACAACCTTGAAAGTCATGCTACAAGGTTGCGAGCGCTTCCGGCGGTCGCCCCCGTGTCCAGAATCCTTGAAGTACAAACCCATTTCAAAGCTCTCCAAAGTCCTGGGCGGCCACTCGCAATTTGACTTACCATGATGGCGGTTTGAAATTGGTGAGAGGCACAAAAAGATTGCACATTGCATTGAAACTAGCTGGTTGGAATCAGCTCAATCAATGTCAGTCCCAGGTTCGACAGGCGGTCTTCCAAAGCCCTCCGGTGAGCAGTGATGGCGGATGACTCAATGGACGCATTTTGCTGAGGAAGCAAAACGAGGAGAATGCAATTGGAATTTGCCGTGCAAACTCCTTTGGCGATGTCCACCGCTTCATCCACCAGCAGAGGTCCTGAGCAACCACAGCTGGAAGAAAGTTCAAAGAAAATCATCAATAAAAGCGGTGCAGACACAGAAACCATGACGAACACCCTTGATGCCAGTGTCAGGCAAGATTCTCCTCGGCCACAACGAAGCATCCATGATCATGATCGTCAGCCTTGGCAAAAATGACAAACAATGATGTTGGAGACAGAGATGAAAACTACAACAGAAAGAAACGACAAGAGTTTCAAAATCTTGTTCTTTTCAACTTGGCTGAGGAATAAATAGCCTAGAAACGCATTGCCATTTGAGCCGGTGTCTATCTGGTAGCGGAGCAGCTCTGAGTGCAAGTCAGCCAATCCCCTTGTCACCTTAACGTAAACCTGGGATCTGCTCATGAGCTGCTCGACGAACTCTTTGCCCCTGGCCTCCCTTGCGGCTAGGTGTCGCAAATCGAGCGCGCCCTAAGAACAGTTCAAATTATGCCCAACATGACGTGGTGTCAAAAAGGCACATTGTCCTGAATCTTGGCTCAAGAGAATTTGGGCAAGACACTTGTCTGTTCGCGTGGTCTTGGGCTCGTTCTACCCAGGCAGACATTTTCTCAATGTCAGCGGCCACTCTCTGCTCGCATTGCTGCATTGAAGCCGATGCAAGCATTTGCGCCGTCCTCATTGTGTTTACTACAGCAGGCGGCTTAATTAAGCAAAATGAAGTATACAACATTCCGAAAACTACGCCTCAGCCTGGACGGCTATAATGGGCCTGAAAACCGCTACAAACTCAGTGCAGGGACTTTTTGAATGAATGTCAAGCAACGCTTCTTCAGCCTCCTCCCGCTGTTCTGCGACCTCAATTTGAAAGTTGCTGGTGTCATCTGGCGCCCTGCCCAGAGTCAAGCCAGTCCCCGGCCTGCTTCTCAAATTTCACGACAGCTGCAGCGAATGCAGTCACACATTCCAGTGGAGCGGGTGGGACCTTCATCTCAAGCATGGTTGTCAGATCAGCATCCAGGTGCCGGAACATAAACCTGCAGCAGCCCAGTGAAAGACTGGAAAGGTAAAGCCATGGCTTCAACAAGTACAAGACTAACACTTCATAAGATGTATTCATGCAGACAGTTGGCGCCCGCTTGATGGCGTCCTCCTCTTGGTTGCAAAAAGCGCTGGGAAATCTTGACTCGAACACCCGCCATGCGGCGAGGAATGCGCTGCACACACGCTGCAATGTTTCCTGGAACTATGACTATGACTGAAAAATGCATTGAAATTCTGTCAGCTGTGTTAGTAGCTGCTCCGACATTCATGCTGCCAAGTATCCACATCCCGAGCTGTGTAAGGCTTCCGGAGCTTGGGGTTGAGAGCCAGCCAATCCGACTCAAGCCTTTTCAGCAAAAGACTTAGAGTGCCATCGGTGTTGGTGAGGTCATCCGGCCAGGCACTGAACGCCCCATGTGCAGAACAAAAATCTCTGTTGAACACTCCCTCTTTGACTGCGTCGTGCGTGAGAAACCGATGCATGGTGTATCGCCTCAGGTCAGTAGCAATGGTCAAATTTCAAAATCACTGCGGGTGTCGGCCATGGGTAGGTCCCATCGATGGTTGCTTACTTAAATGATATAGTTTCGCAGCTCCATCCTACTAAAAGTCACGCCCTCAAAAAAGAGAAGGAGATGATTTTGAACAAGTCGGTTGGCACCACGTGGCCCGACCAAGCCGGTGAGTGCTTCCACCACTGGCCCATCCACGTGGTTCAAGAGCGCTGCAGCAGCTCCACTTTCAGCCCGCCCCAACTGGTATGACGAAGCCAACTGACCGGCAGTCATCCATGCCTCTGGACAAAAGGAAACTGATGGACTAAGTAGCAATCTTGAGGTGAAGAAACAATGGGAAGGATATCAATTTATAAACTCTATTTGCAACTGATGAGCTTCATCTTCCGTGACTTGCATGCGTTTGAGCAGACGCATCTGGTGCAAAAGGTTAAAGCAGTTGGGCTTCCTTCGCACTGAGCTGCTCAGTGTCATACCTGGGCTAGGAAAACAAGTGGAGAAGATTCAAGATTCTCCAGGCCAAGACAACACTTGAAAAAGTTCTCTCGCCAAACGTTCGTTTAGTCACAACTGCTTGTCGCCAAGCAACACCTGTTTTGAACTACAAGGTCTGCTGGATCAGTCATCACCGTCACCGTGCAGTGAATGGTGCTGAATGTCCTGGACAACTATCTACACTGTGCTGTTTTTGCTATGCAAACACATCAAGAAGCAATTGCTTTTGTTTGGGACCTTCCAAAACAATCTGCTGGCCCTGCCAAGCATCTTTCGAACTTTGTCATCCAGCGCCTGGCGAATGAGTGTCAATTCGTTTTTGTTGATAGAATAAAAGGAAGGTCGGAAAATTATGTGTACCCTCAATGATTGGGTTATGAAGATATATACACTTATTATTCTACCAGGGTTCGCTGATTTCATTTTCCGTAGCCCAAAGATATACCTTGGCCCTCCCAGGCCTCCATGAAACCCGGCTGCAAGTGGCAACACAGCAGCACAGTGTAACAGCAAAACATTCTGGTGTAGCCTTTCACGAAGCTGAATGAATGTGGGTCTGCAAAGCCAACATCCTCGATTTCGCATCCGTCTAGGTCACTGAGCAACAAGGAATGCTCGGGCGCAAGTCCAAGCTCAGGCCGTAGAGATGACACAGTCACTTTTTCTACTCCTCCAAGGTCAGGATCCGTCATCATCCTGGGCATCAATGTTTGATGTGTCAGGTTTTAATGCTAATGAAACAAACTGGTCAAGAAGATTTACAAGGAAGTGGTGGCTTGAGCCACCAACCCGTGCAGGATGATGAGTTCGCACAACTGTTGATGCGAGTCCTGCCAATCCCCCCGCCATGAACACTAAACAAAAAAGGAGAAGTCACATCAAAAACCATTGGTATCTTCAATGCTGGTTTGGACGGTCCGGCTCAAGAAGGCCTTTCATGCCACACTTTGGGGACCACGGTAGCATCCACGGACGCAACAGTGCTCCACCACCCGTCCGATGTGTCTGCGGATTAGCATATTTGAGGCCCTGCTCTGGAGGGAAATTCTCATTGATGAATTTCAGAAATTCAATGGCTGCATCCTGCCACGGAGTTTGAATCTCAAAAGGGACCGGAAAGTTGTGAACGTGCAGAAACATTAGAAACCCTTGGCTGACACAAGTCTACCTTATTGGCGAAGCGACGCTCGAAAAAGTTCGCCATTGAGCCATGTTCATCACAAACTTGCTTCCTTGGCAAAATATACTTGGCAGACCCGAGGACATTTGTGGACTTCAATTCCCCTTCATGGAATCCTATGAGTTGCAAAATGTGAAGTCAACAACTGATGTCAAGGAACAGCCATTGATCAAAAATCTTCCGACATGGCGTCAAGGATTGCAAGGTGACTTGGCCAGGTTCATCCTTGACTCTTTTCAACCTGGAAGCACCATCACCATTGGACTTTCGTTTGCTGGGCGGCATTGAAATTGGCAGCGCCCAAAGGACTCGGTGCACTCTATGTTTGAGCATGCAGAGATGCCAGCCAAATACTTCAAAGAAAAAGGCTTACTCTTTCACTGCTGACAAGTTAAGCAACAAATTGTGACTACTGGGCAACACTGCCGACCAGTTTTGTCACTGCCTCTCACACGGTCCATGCATGTGAAACTGAAGCAAATTGAGCCCTGCTGGGAAATAGCAGAAAGCAGTAAACTTGGGCAGAGGACACGCTTCACCTGTCAGACCTGGCATGTCAAGGCCAGGGCCGGATCGAACCATATCGTGGGATTTACAACTTCAAAGCTATCGCCCCAAAACCGCTCCAGAAAATAAAACCAACATTTTCCAACTTAACTTCAAGTAGATTGTGCAAGACTCAGTGTGATGTCACTCTTTTTGTTTCGGCTGCTTGCAGATCCAACCATTGCCAAGTTGGCACCAGATCAATAGCCACCTACGGCCCAAGGTGTCAGCAACCGGTTGAGGGTGGAATTTGAATTGAGGAGACAAAGAAAAACCATTGACGGCTATCATCAGTGACCCTCATCCACAGCTGCCCTGGGGAACCCCTTGAAGCTGTTCCGCGGGTGCTTGACACCCTCCGCACTTTGGAAAGCTGAGCCACCATGGATGGCCCTCACGGCATGTCACAAGAAAAGACATAGTATGATGCAAAAGACATATCATGGAATCGAGAATTTTTGCTGTGCATTCTTATTTAGTAAGTTTCATTCATCTCAGGAGAGGTGATTGGATGCTTCATGTCGCATGCTAAAAGTAACATTGTATCCATGTGATAAACATCCTGCTCACAGACATCGTATTTTTGATCTATGTTAAGTTTTAAAGTTCAGGTTTGAAGGTATGAACACGCTAGATTTCAATTCTCCAGTTAGCATCCCAAGGCTATGTCCATGCCGCACTGTGTTCTTCAGGAAAATGACCACCTCACCCCACCAAAACAAAAACAATATTTTTGTGTTTCAAGTTGTCTTGTCACACATTTCGACAACTGTCAGTGGCATTTACTTTTTCCCTTCCAGCAAGCCTTCTAATGCCCATGCCGCAAATGTTTTTGATTTTACATATTTTGGAAGGCATCCATGTGCACATGGCGCTTACACTTATTGTTGTTGGTGTCCTGTTTCGTCCAAAATTGCGATAAAGCTTTATGATATCCACTAACAGCAATGTCCTCCTTGACCATCCTCACAGGCCCCATTATTTTTGATACTTAGGTAGATCAACTGCTATTCATCGGAGACATTTCTCAGAAATGATTTTTTTCCCATACATTGCACTAAACATCTAAACTGCGGCTTGCACACCAGCAGAGCACCCCTAAATGTTTATGTTGCGCACATTTGTTTGCCTTTTATTCCCCTTACTTTAGGCGATTCATTGCTGTGCCTCACAAACAATATTGAACTTGACAAACTGAAATCGCAACCAAAGCAGAGATTTCTTTTTGCCCATTGGATGTTTGTCGCAAAAATATACGGTGCCTACGGGCATGGCTTTGTGCGGACTGTCAACGACATTCCTCACAAATTGTGCGGAATGTCATTGACATTCCTCACAAACGAAAACTTCCCTTACATTGCGCTAAAAAACTAAACCGGGGCTTGCACACTAGCAAAACACCCCTAAATGTCCATGCCGCACCCAAACTTATTTGACATTCGTTTTCCAACCCTTATAGAGGTTTTTCATTGCGATGTTTTACACACACTGTTTACATTGACAAGTTGCAATCGCAATTCGTAGAAGCCAACTTTTTTGGCGCATTGCACCCTGTCACAAAACTACACGGTGCCTAAGGGCATGGTTTTGTGCGGAATGTCAGTGACATTCCTCACAAATTGTGCGGAATGTCAATGACATTCCTCATAAACGAAAATTTCCCTTACAGTGTGCTAAAATCTAAACTGTGGCCTGCACACCAGCAGAACACCCAATTGTTTTTTGGGAAGTTCGTTTCCGGCCTTTGATAGGTCAGTCGTTGCGATGATGTATAAACAATATTCGATATTTGCCTTGACACATTGCAATCGCAAATCATAGAAACTAACTTTTTTGGCGCATGGCACCCTGTCACAAAACTACACGGTGCCTAAGGGCATGGTTTTGTGCGGAATGTCAGTGACATTCCTCACAAATTGTGCGGACTGTCAATGACATTCCTCACAAACGAAAACTTCCCTTACATTGCGCTGAAAAACTAAACCGGGGCTTGCACACTAGCAAAACACCCCTAAATGTCCATGCCGCACCCAAACTTATTTGACATTCGTTTTCCAACCCTTATAGAGGTTTTTCATTGCGATGTTTTACACACACTGTTTACATTGACAAGTTGCAATCGCAATTCGTAGAAGCCAACTTTTTTGGCGCATTGCACCCTGTCACAAAACTACACGGTGCCTAAGGGCATGGTTTTGTGCGGAATGTCAGTGACATTCCTCACAAATTGTGCGGAATGTCAATGACATTCCTCATAAACGAAAATTTCCCTTACAGTGTGCTAAAATCTAAACTGTGGCCTGCACACCAGCAGAACACCCAATTGTTTTTTGGGAAGTTCGTTTCCGGCCTTTGATAGGTCAGTCGTTGCGATGATGTATAAACAATATTCGATATTTGCCTTGACACATTGCAATCGCAAATCATAGAAACTAACTTTTTTGGCGCATGGCACCCTGTCACAAAACTACACGGTGCCTAAGGGCATGGTTTTGTGCGGAATGTCAGTGACATTCCTCACAAATTGTGCGGACTGTCAATGACATTCCTCACAAACGAAAACTTCCCTTACATTGCGCTGAAAACTCAACCGTGGCTTGCACACCAGCAGAGTACCCCTAAGTGTCTATGCCGCACCCAATTTTTTTGGACTTTGATTCTTAATACTTAGGTGAAGCAAAGCCACCTCATCAAAATGATTCAGCTTGATTTTGTGTGGAATGTCATTGTGCGGAATGTCAATGACATTCCTCACAAATTGTGAGGAATGTCAATGACATTCCGCACAAATTGTGAGGAATGTCATTGACATTCCTCACAAACGAAAACTTCCCTTACATTGCGCTGAAAACTCAACCGCGGCTTGCACACCAGCAGAGTACTCCTAAGTGTCCATGCCGCACCCAATTTTTTTTGACTTTGATTCTTAATACTTAGGTGAATCAAAGCCACATCATCAAAACGATTCAACCTGATTTTGTGCATGGCATGTTGTCACAAAAACATGATTCATCTACATGCCTGATTTTGTGAGGAATGTCAATGACATTCCTCACAAAACTGACCAGTTTAGGCTGCAAATCTTCAAAACATCATCATTCACAATGTGGTCCCCAAATTGGGAGGCAACACGGGCTTATTTTGTGAGGAATGTCATTGACATTCCTCACAAATGATTGTGGTAGGGGGTGCCCAAGTTTTGTGAGGAATGTCAATGACATCCCTCACAAAACTAGCCGGTTCAGATTACAAACCTTCAACATACTCTCAGAGCAATATGAAGCCTACAGTGTTACTGCCATGCCTGCCTGCTTTGTGAGGAATGTCAATGACAGTCCTCACAAATCATTGTGGTGGGGGGTGCACATGTTTTGTGAAGAATGATGTTGCAAAAGACCCGACGCATTTTCCCACACACACATTATATATTTTTGCAAAGGGTGCCATCAACAGTCATCCCAACCAACACTGAAGGAAAAGAATGTGGTAGTACATGTCTCAAACCCATCGATAAAAAATAAGAGCAGTGAACACTCATGTTGGCATGTGATGAAAAAGGCTATGACGGCTATGAAGTCGATCATTGGTTGGTTAATCTCCGTTCTTCTATGCATCCTGTCTTTTGCAACGAAGGTTCATAGCCAGCTAAAAGCGCTGGCACTTGATGTGAATCCCCAGTGTCAGTTTTGACACAAAAACTGTGGCCCTGACTGCCTTGGTCTCAGTCCCGCAGAAACGCAAATGAAACACCTTGTTCAAATGAGATACAACTTTCTTGTAGACAAGGTTTCGTCGTGGTTGTGCCAACCATGTGTTTCGGTGATAACCAGCAGAACTGGCAATGGCAATCGCAACACAGAAAAACAACTAAAAACATGTGAGGCAATTTTTACTGCTCTAGCTACACATTGGCTGGGACGATGCTTTGGCTTTCTCCCTCACACTCCCATGTTGCAGCACTGAAAGCGCTCTCGACTATGGATAAAGCACGTTGAAAGTCCATCCCCTCACCCCACAGCCGCACTGCTGCGCGATACACATGGTAAGCCTTCCTGCGGACCCTATAGCGGTCCAAGACAACACGTGGCAATTTCTCCGTCACCAAATTCATTGCGTTGGGTGCCTCAGTGAACGTGTTCATGCAAAATGGCCCGGTTGCAGCAAAACATTGCAAGTCGATGCAAACCGTGCCAACAAAAAAAAACTGTTTCTTCTAGGTTGGGTACTGGGTCAAAAGACTTGCCGGAACTGTCATGTGCAAGAAAACCGGGCCCCATTGAAGGCCCTGGGGCTGGCAAGCATGCACCAATCTCCAGAGGCGCTGATCGTTCCAACTGGTTTCGCGCAAGCTTCTCAAGATAGTCAGCTGCACGGACCATTCGAAAGGGTTCCTCTCCTAGGATAAAGCAATATCAGATCGTTTTCAACTGTGGTGGACGATATGTCGCATATGAAAACAACTTCGGAACACAGACGAGGATTCAACAATCATATATATATATGCTGTAAGCATGCATGCTTGTATGCATGCAAGCGTGCATGTATGTGTGTATGCATGCATGACTGCATGCATGAATGAATGAACGAACGAATGAATGAATGAATGAACGAACGGATGAATGAATGAAGGAAGGAAGGAAGGAATGAATGAATGAATGTAATGAATGAATGTAATGAATGTATGTCATGTATGTATGTATGTATGTGTGTATGTATGTATGTATGTATGTATGTATGTATGTATGTATGTATGTATGTATGTATGTATGTATGTATGTATGTATGTATGTATATATATATATTATGTATGTAGACAGGTATGCAATGCATGCATGCATGCATGCTTGTATGTATGTATGTATGTATGTATGTATGGATGGATGGATGGATGGATGTAATGTACGTAATGTGATGTAATGTGGTGTAATGTAATGTAATGTAATGTAATGTAGTGTAGTGTAATGTGATGTATGTATGTATGTATGTATGTATGTATGTATGTATGTATGTATGTATGTATGCATGTATGCATGGATGGACGGATGAATGTACATATGACATGATATCAAAATAAAGTTTATATATACATATATATATATGTATATATATACTTGCCTATTTGCATATAAAATATAAACTATATATATGTGTGTGTATATATATATACATGTAAATAAACTCTGTGTGTGATCAATCACTGAATGCATATATATTTTTACACAATGGACACACCCGGGAATGGCATCACAGCGAGCAGACTAGGCTCGCATCATCGCGGCATATTTCAGCCAATTTTGCGACGCGTCATCGTCAAAGTCGCGATCGCTTCCAACGACTTAGAATGTTCAGCGAACACAAGCGACCAAACTAGCGAAAAAACAACTAAATCCCCTGAACTGAAAACACGTCAAGTTTGACACAATATAGATGTTTAAAGCCAAGTGGCCCTCTGGGACCATTCCGGAATTGCGCGCATCTCTGCATATGGAAGCTGGTAAATATAAGATTGGGTGACCTTTCCAATTCTCATCGCTCATGTATTGTTTGGTCCTGCACAGGCGAAGTCAGAAAAACGAGGCGCCATGACATGATTATGTGTGTTTTCAAGAGAAAATGAATCATAATGTCACGATGGAAACTTCACACCATAGCACACTGGTTTTGTCTGGCAATTACAACAACAGGGGGGCCTCAGGATGACATCATCCCCCTCAGGCGCCACACCAAACTTTCTCCAAAACCGACTTTGACAATTGGAGAGGTCGACACCTGCCGGTTGGATTTCACATCCAAAAATTGAATTTGTTTCTGCTCAGAAACAGACTTGGAAAAAAAAAACGGGCAATTCACAAAGGACGTGCTATGCAAAACATCGCGCAATCTGCCTTGGTCTATCAAATCTGCCCTCCGGTCGAAAGCGAAGACATGCGGGGCCCCGGGCCCGGAAATCCCACGAAGGTGACAATTCCGGGAAAGCAAGTGCAGAAAAGTCTTCCTGGCACACCGGTCAGCACACCCATACTTGATCGAAACAAACTGATGGGCAAGTATGGTGTGGCAAGGGATGATCTTGCTCCGAGTAAATTCATTCAAAACTGCAAATGCAATACAATACACGGCCTCACTTATTGCTTGGAAACGTAACAGTGAGCCAACTTCAATCTATTTTTATTAAAGGGCTATACTTAAAGGGCTGGAAAATATTCCAAAGGAAGTCAGGTCTGTAAAACCCTATTACCTCTAAACTAGTGCTGGCGTTCAAACACATCCCAACATAACATTCTATATATATATATATATATGGAATCCAGATTTTGTACAAACATAAAGATAACTGAGGAGTAATACATGAATATACATAGTTACATATATTATATATATATATTTACATATACATATATATGTACATATGTTTTCATGAATTCCACTAACATAGGCTCAACATCCCTCCAACATCGCCTCAACATGGGGGATAAGCGAGTAAAGGATTTCCTACCAAAAACTTCAAAGCATAGTATGCATCCTCTAAGGTTCCATAGGATCTCTCCAACGCAAACAATCGCCGGGAAAATCCGTCCCCCAAAAAACGGCCATACATTGTACCGAAAACGACGGAAACCCTGCATGTATGCAATTTTTTCCGGGATGTATGCCCATTTTTGTCCTATAAATCACCAACATGGGCCCGATATGGGCCCCAAATGGCCCAACCTTGGCCCAACATAGCCCCCAAAATTAACTTCAACCGAAAAGGTTTCGGTTGGGGTTATTTTTTTCACCCCAGAGACCTCCATGGAACCCCATATAGCCCCCAAATGCCCCAACATGCGCCCAACATGGGCCCAACATAGACTCCAAATGGCCCAACCTTGGCCCAACATAGCCCCCAAAATTAACCTCAACCGAAAAGGTTTCGGTTGGGTTATTTTTTTCACCCCAGAGACCTCCATGGAACCCCATATAGCCCCCAAATGCCCCAACATGCGCCCAACATGGGCCCAACATAGACTCCAAATGGCCCAACCTTGGCCCAACATAGCCCCCAAAATTAACCTCAACCGAAAAGGTTTCGGTTGGGGTTAATTTTTTCACCCCAGAGACCTCCATGGAACCCCATATAGCCCCCAAATGCCCCAACATGCGCCCAACATGGGCCCAACATAGACTCCAAATGGCCCAACCTTGGCCCAACATAGCCCCCAAAATTACCTCCAACCGAAAAGGTTTCGGTTGGCGGTTTTTTTTGTCACCCCAGAGACCTCCATGGGACCCCATATAGCTCCCAAAAGCCCCAACATGCGCCCAACATGGGCCCAACATGGATCCCATATAGGCCCGACATGGCCCCGAAATGGCCCAAAGATCACCTGGTCCCAAAAGCCCAACATGGACCAACATAGGCCCAACATGCACACATCGGGTTCCCAGACCTCCATGGACCATGGAACCCTACTTATCCCACCAAATTAAAGCTTTAGATCCCCTTGACCTAGGGCGGAAGGGGTGGGGTAGGGTAGGATTTCTTTTAATTCAAAGCCAAGCCAAACCTATGCTTACAGAAGCCTATCACTCCAAACCGTCCCAAACAGCATGACAACTGACATCCTGAAGTATACAGTGTCATAGACCTGACTTCCTTATCTACACCAACATAATAAGCACAATAGACAAAAGCTGCTGCTGCTAGACACGGTTCCAATCCCTGGTTGCACCAACAAGGCAGCTGATTCGCAAAGGTTCGTTCGGCCGGATGCTTTTGCCAGCACCTTCATCATGAAACCGCTGGAGCATCTCAACAAAGTCAGTCGGTGTGGCAAGTTCCTGGTGCCGCTCAATTTCTGAACTGATGCAACTAAAGTATTGGTCCACGTCCTCGTGGCTGTGCCCCGATGCTAAGCATCGGAGCTCCATCCTCTTCAGTTTGTGACACCCCACAAGCATTCCCATCAGGCGCGTTGCTACGTTGTTCTTCACCTCTCGGGAGGTGTTGTCGCTTTGGACTAACACCTCCACACCCCGAAGGTCCATCTTCGAAGACAGGAGGTGTAAGCTGTGGCAAATCAAATCGCAACACCAACTGGCATCCTTCTTGAGGTATGGGAGGCTTGCGGCCAGAACCACGTGGTGCCCGTGGCAAAGGACTGCGCTCATGTCCAAACATGGCCTTATGAAGCCACTGAATTCTTTGGAGGATGCCAGCAATGTTCTTGGAAATCGGAACTTCGTGTGATCCATAGCGTCTGTTATTAAACAAACGCTGGGCCCACTGCACTGCAAAGCTGGCAGTCTGGAAATTGACCTGGCACGCCAATAGCAGATCCTGTCACGGTATTGACGCTGCAAATGCGCCATGTAGCGCTTCATCTGAGAAGCGCGGCCAAGAGTGTCGCTGGCCATTTTTTTCAACAACATCCGGTGTCTGACACAAACGGCACATTGTGCATGGTTGCTCTTCGGCCGAATGCCCAATTTTGCTGCGTAATGAATCTTCCAGACCTTACTTGGGTCTGAAAATTAAATCCTATACGAAACCAACCGCCATAGCAAGGAAATTCTGTGCCCATGACAGCAAACATGCATGGGGGCTGAAAGCTTGCAAGGGCCCGTAACATTTTCTGTGAGGCTGCTGCCTGAAAAATGTTCTTGTTTGGGCAACAATCAGTAATGTTCGATTTTTTTGAATCACATACCAGTGGGCAATAAAAGGAGCAAATCAAAGCCGAGGCCAAATGACATTGCAAAAGAATTTGAAGCCAACTGGCTCCTCAGGGTGCTTGGCCTGCAGAAGGCGGAAGTAATCACTGAAACTGCCAGGCGGAAGCAGCCTCATCACAGGTTCCGACACTTCAGGTTTCGATGGCCCTGGCCCCTTGTCACTTCTGGAACAAGTTGCGATCCTCTTCCATTTCCCGGGCTTCTTCCCACGAAGGCGTCTGAACTTGGTTGATGGGTGCAAATCTTGGCCATCAGCACTGGCTTTCCGCTTGCCTGAAGCCTCAGGCATTGCTTCCGCAACAGTTTGCCGCAACTCTTCCAAAAACTCCAATACCAAGGCCCGCTTTCTCATGGAACCAGGCTGTGACCCGTCATCTTGTCGAGGGCGGGATCTACCATCCAAAGGAGCCGGTTGACCCAAAGCAACGGACTTGGTCAATTTGGAGTACCGTGTGGCACCCACACCAAGTATTTTTCGAAAGCCCTGTTGACAGACCGGGCGTTTCAAAATCACACGTTCTTTGCGGGTAAAAGTCTCCAAGCCTTCCAGCTTTGTGCGGATCATAGCCATCACCTGGAAGGGCAATGACCAAACTTGAATCCATCACCCCACAAAACTGAGATTGGGGCTATAAGTGGCTGTTTGCTACCAGGACGGGAAATAGTAGTTGGGTTGGAAAATAACATATGAATGCGGTGGTAAGAATGGCTACTAGATTGTGATTTTGTTTAAGTTTAAAGCATGTCCCCAAACAAATGACCTCCGAATCCATGTCAGCATTCGAAAGTTTCCGCAGGCGAATAAACTGTTGCGCAAGATCTGCTACATCCACTTCGTTGCGAAACTGGCTGAAGCAGTTCAATGTCTTGCCAGTCTTTGCACATGGACAAACTGAGCGAACCAGCTTGGAAAATTTGGCTCGCGCCGTGGAGAGATCCAAAATCTTCTTGTCAGACTTCCTTCGACGCAGTTTTGAGCTGCTTGAGGCATCACATTTTAAAGGCTGTCTGGGAACCTCATCATCCGATAAGGCCGTCAGCTCAACCTTCACTTCTGAAGGCTCGCCACTTGCAAGCACCAACGCAGGAGCAGCATCGGAACAGCCACCATCCATGAAATTGGCAAATTTCTGGTTAGTTCTGCCATGACTATGATGCATCTGAAACTAGAACGAATCTGCATCAGGAGTTTGGGGAACGAATCTGATCACCATCAGACTGACGGTTCTGAAACTGTCGAACTTGCATGGTCTACTTTACTACAACTTTACTAACAAATATCCTCGTGAGCACCCAGGTTCGGCAGCCTGAAGTTTCAATTGCAAAACGGTGTCCAAATTCATCAGGTATTATTGCGCCTGAAATTCACCTCACTCTTGAAGCAGCAATGATATTCAATTTCGCTGCGCAAAAAAACAAGTTGAATGGCGAGCTTGAAGGCCCAACCTCTTTTGTTTTCTGCCGCTGACCCTCGTCGTCGTGTTGCTCTGTGGCAGGCATATGTTATGCAGCGAAAGATCCAAGCGCGTCAAAACACACTAATTAGGTAAAAGGAACAATGGCTTAGGATGGGGGGCCAGCTTCAAGGGCCATTGTGCTCTTCAACCTTCGCAATGCCTGGCCTTGCGAAGAAGCTGAATCAGCTTGCTGCTGCTGCGAGTCACCTGCATAAGTTTGAAGTTGCTGCGGTCACTGCATAAGCTTGAAGTTTCATCGGTTGAAAAAAGAATGAAGACTGAAGTCACAATAATAATGTCCCAAAAAAATGGGAGGAAAATGTTGGAGGAGCACAGGAAGGATAAACTTACTGGTCATGAAGTGGAGGTGCTGGCCTTCCAGGCTATCAGCTCCCCTCTTCTTGCTTCGCAAAGCACCTGCCACACTTAGACTTGCTTTCGCGACTCGCGCAATATAGACATCTGCATCTTTGACATGACCAATGACCACTACTAGATGTTTAAAAACTTCCACTTATTCAGAAACACCACCACAGCACTCTACGCAATGGCCTGAAGTGGTCGCTGAAGAGGCAGCTTCCTGTTGGCGTTGGCTGCAAATCATAAAACAGGGAAAGAGGATAACATGTGGGTGAATCTAATCTAAATGAAACTGAAGAAGAACCATAGGTAACCCAACTGCAGTGGGACGTGACAGCACAGCAAGTCTGCGCCTTCACCTCATCCGTCAAACCACCCGTGACTACCACTGCCTGACACAACAAATGGCATCACACAAAAAAGCTAGGACACACGGGAACACAAAAACATGTGCTTTGAAAGCTTTGCCGCGTCATATGAAACCCGGCCTCAGTTTCAGGAGGATTGGGATCATTATCATCTGCATCTGCTTCGACCCACTCCCACTCGTCAGATGGGAAACCAGAATGGCCACAAGTTACCTCCCCGCTGTCATCATGATTCGAATACACTCTTCCCCACCAAGACATAACGGGGACGTTTGACATGGGTGTAACTTTCAACCGTAACTTCAACGAGGAGAGGGGCACATCAGTACGAGCCATTGCCATGGTCAAAGAACGTGGCTAAATCAGATGCAACCTGAGAAAGCTGTGTCACTGAGCAAGAAATGTCTGTGGAAATCGCTGGCACTCAACCTACAAGTTGACATGCCAAACCTCTGTGGAAACAATCAGTTCAATGTGACCTCCCATACACATGTCATGTATTTCAAGCGAGCCAGGGTACACTTTGTGATGACGGTGAGCCGGAAGTCAATCTTCTCTGAAGAAAAAGCTGGGCAGCCAAGGCAAGTCCAATAACTTGCCAAAATCAAATCAAGACTCGCAGCACGGCCATCCCTCAAATTCGCCATTTGCACGAACCAAGGGGTTCCTGATTGATGAAACAACCCGGTGAAAACTTTAGCCACTCTTAACTCTTAACCAAACAAATTTCTTTACTGTCTTTACTCCATCTTTTGTGAATGCTATTGGTTCCGTCAAGGAAACTTCTGCTGGTGCATGGCTGCAAGTATGTGTAAAGCCAGATCTGCACAACGTGGATTGACCACATTGCCACAAGCTCGCAGTCGGAATTCATGGCCCTGCCCCCGACTTTGCAAGAGCCATTTGGAAACCGGAGGCTTGTTCCTCAAGTGGTGGCACTGATGGGCAGGAGAAAAATGGCACATCTATTTCACGCATGACGTTGCCACTGGCCGCGGGCCTCGAAGAAAGATTGGCCAGTCCCTTTCTTCAAGGCGACGATAAAGACCCGGTCCCGTTTGACCTGGTAACTTGGTAAAATTGACAAACCGAAAATTTCAAAGCTGCAAAACTATTTCTATAAGTTTGGAAAGACCACTCTCAGAAGAGCACATGGAGCCCAGCCATTTGTCCAGGGGCCACAGTCCACAGAAGATAGAAGCCCCGTTTCTCAAACTCCTGGCCAAGGTGGGTCATTTCATCAGGTTTGACTTGAATCTGACATGCATGCACTGAGCCTGACGGATCCAATCCCACATTGTACGAAGGCTTTTGTCTGCAGACAACAGGTGCTTTACGTTCTCCAGGATGCAGAAATACCTGGAAAAAGTTTCAATGAGCACATAAACTTTCAACCCAATTTTTCAGTGGCAAGATCTGGCAAGCAACTTTGAAACCTATGCTTATACAAATAAGAATGCAGCCAATGCACATCTGCGGATATCTGTCCAAAAGTTTGAAGAAGATACTCACCAAGTTTGAGCGCGGATCCGCTAATCCACGCATCTTCCCCGACTTGCTCACGCCCTCGGATTCCAACACGCTCGCAAGCAAAAAGAAATGCTAAGGCTGTGAACTGAAGATTGGTTTCTGATGAAATCTGAATTCAAAACAAGTATATAGGGGAGTGAAACTCTGGAACGTCCAAATACACACACCTAATTAATGACAACAAATTAACATCGAAATAACGTAATGCTTGACAAGGGTCTTGACATGGAAAACCACCGATCAAACCATCGCAAACTCTGAGCAAGGCATCGGCTTCGTCTGCGACGGTAAGTACATCTTGAAACACTGGGCCTTGGCACAAAAGGCCTTCACGCATTCGAAGTTCCAGGATGCGACGGCAATCACTGTCACATTCAACCTCAAAACAGGAGCTGGAAGTGTGCAAACACTGATTCGCATTGCCTCTGAAAGCTGCACTGACTAGTCAAAGGTGAACTTGAATGGACACCGAAATCAATTTGAGAAAGCAGCGTAGCCCATTGTCTGCAAAATCCTCAAGATTCGAATTTTTTTGGCTGACATTGGATGACAATTTGCACTGACTCTCTATATTATTGCAAACATTTTTTGGCTGGGGCCCACGCCGGCTGAATCCCAGGTCCAGCCCTCCTACCCCGCTGAAGAGCGACAGCGCTTTTAGTTTGGGGTGCTGCCAAAAGTCCTCACGAGCTCTCAACATACAGACAATGAAACAAAAAAAACAAATGAAGAATTTCTTCTGACGCTGACTCCTGCTCGAGGTGGGGAAACAGCCGGTGAAAGTCAGATGAGCGCACACTGCCACTCTTTGCCAGGGTCCAGCCTCGAGGTAAGCCTCTGTGGACAGGCAATTAAATGTCGACATGGCCACTGATTTGTGTTGTAAGGTTTCAACATGTTCTGTCCGCAAACGTATAAATTTGGGCTGACTGGATAATCATTGGCTAGAAACCGGACAGGTGCTCTGCCACTCTCGGGGATAGAAACTTTCCCAGAGGCATCTTCAATCGCTTGCACTCACTACGGTAGTAGTCCCAGTAAAAGATTTGCGTCGCGAGATCCTGCCAGGGATGAGCTGACTTTGTATGGGAGCTGCAGGACGTACTACAGTAGTCCTGCCTGTGAGCCACGCTTTGACAAGTAGGCTTGGCATGCTCTGGTCGTTGCCCCGAATACACCTCGCAGAAAAAACATGAATCTTCCCAATCTGCAACTTTACACCCTTTGCTTCTCAACAAGTTTGGATGCAGAATAATAGGCCCCAACGAATACATCCAAAGTTGTTTCGCACCACAGGCGAGGTCAAGAGCTTCACATTCTTCGCTTGGGCTTCAGCTGCTGCAGCTTTCTTAGCCCTTGGAACCTTAATTACTCAAATCAACTTTGGCTCAGCACGATATGTAGGTTGATGTTTTGGTACTAAAACCTAAAATCACAAATAAATCAGCCCAACTGACCCTGATTCAAACTGACAAGCGACCAAACGCATGTTCAAAGGCCCTGCTTGCGGCCAACATGTAATTGGCTTGAATTCTGTCACAGTACGAGGGCAGCCAACCAAGGCTGCACCATGATTCGGGCACCGGGCATCCGTTGAAAGAGGTCCGTCCTGGCAACACCAAAACTCCAGGATGAAACTTATTACAGAACGTCAAGCTTGCAGGTTCAAAAACAATCGCTAGACCAATAATATTCTGGCTCGTTCCGCTGACCTTCAAGACTCGGAAGAGTGTGACCTTGCCATCAGCTGGCACAGCTGCATGCGCACCACGGGAAGGCCTTTGCCAAGGCAAAAGCATGACGTGAATCACAAACAACAATGTACAATGTACAATGTACAGTTCAAATTTCACTGCGCCCTCACATGGTTTAAACACTGAACGGCCAAGCCCCCAGCTGGTCGTGGGACTGCAACTGGACTTTACAAGGCGGCAGTGCATCATCGCTCAGCTGCGACAAGCTGCGCTTTCGATAGCTCAAGGCCATGGCCCCCATCAGTTTCGGTTGTCACTTCGCTCTACACTGCCAGCAAATATGCACCAGCCACTGACACCAGCATCTACATGCGAGCTAAAAAACTTAACAGTGAATTTCAACTAACATCATTTACTTACCTTCTGAATTCCACTATTGGCCCACATGCTCATGAACGACCACAGCTAACACGCAACGAAATCAAATGATGACTGACTTCAATCAGTCTGCAACTCCTGCACGTCTTGCAACAAATCAAATGCAAGTAATACGGGTCCAAAAATGTCGTCCTTCAAATCAAAAAACGCCACAAGAATAAAATCGAATCATCACTGTCACAACATCAGGCATGAAAGTTTTAATCACAAGAGAATACCCGAAAATAAAAAAAAACCTTGCGATAAGTTACTATATCATAAATATATATATATATACATATATTTATATATTTATATCTAATATCAATAGTGGTAGTACCCGCACGAGGCCAGGCGGAAGTTTCCCTTGACTAAGCAAAGCAGTGATGAGCGGTGAAGCTTCACGTTGAAATGGGAAAACATTTGCTAGTTGGCAGCTGCCTCCCCACCTTCACCAGGACAGCGAAATTCCCGCACAATGTTTGGAATGTAACAATGCAATCCCAGAGATCATCAAGACAAAGAGATGCTGGCAAGTCATAACGCTACCATTAGTGCAAGATCTCTTACTTGCATCAGGCTATCAAATTGCCCATTGATTCTGCCAACCCCGGATGCGCCAGCCAACCCCGAATAGCCGGAAAAAAACTTCCCTGTTGATCCTCAACATTTGGATCCAATACGGGTCACGGTGATGAAGTTTGGCGATGGCAGCGTGAACATCAAGAATGGCGATGGTTCTTCCAAGTTTTCTACGCAGCGCTCCTGGGTTGGACACACCATTTACCAGCTCAATGGCATCATCCGCAAAGAGCTTTGCATGTACTCTCACATGACGGCTCGCAAGATTGCCCGGGACACCAAGACCAAGATCAACCGCCAGACGAAGAAACAGGCCAAGAAGGTCGTCCTGGAGCGTGATCTTACGGTGGATGAAAGCGCTCAGTTTCAGCAAGCCAAGTGCAAGGAGCTTCAGTCGTTCTTTGAAAATGATGTTTGGACGTTTGACGTTGAGTCCAATGCAGATCCTGCCAGAACGCTGACAGCTCGAATGCTTCTCTCTAGCGAAAGCCCGTTTGATTGTTCGTGGCTATGCTGATGTGGATGCCCTTCATGGCAATTTGGAGACGAGCAGTCCTACGACCTCTCGACTTTCGAGGTGTTGGTTGCTCTCCATTGCTTCCAATATGGGCTAGAATTTGTGGACAGCTGATGTCAGCACTGCTTTTCTTCAAGGTCGTCCTCAAGAACAACTTCTTTGGATCAAGTTGCCTGCAGATGCACTTCGACTTTTGGGTGCACCTCCTGAAGCCAGAATGAAGCTTCAGAAACCCTGCTATGGTCAATTGGACGCACCACGGAGATGGTACTTAGAGGCAGTGCGACGCCTCCAATCTCTTGGACTTCGTCAACATGCCCTTGACCCTTGTGCCTTCCTCATCTATGAGGCTGACTTCAAGGACAAGTTTGGTAGCTCAGACTCACCTTCCAACTCTCTGGGTGAGCATGGTTTGGTTGGCCTGATCATGTGGATGACATGTTGGGCTGTGGCGATTCTACGTCCTTGGTGTATCAAGGTGTGATTCAGGAGCTTCGCAAAACCTTTTCATTTCGTGAGTGGCAAGATGGTGACTCACTTGAGTACTGCGGTGCCAGCATCATCAAAGATGCAGAGGGCATACGTGTTGGACACCAGGCCTATCTGAAGAAGATCAAGCCGATGACACTTCCCAAACATGTTGGGCCTGACCATGAACTTTCACAACGTGAATTGACTGAGTTGAGAGGCCTGCTTGGAAGCCTTCAGTGGCCTGCTGTGCAGTCTTCGCCGCACCTTCAAGCGAGCGCTTCATTGGCTTCAGGAAGTGTTTCCACTGGCCGTGCACAGGCCGTGGTGGATGCCAATCGACTTTGAAGTTTGCCAAAGAGAACTCATATGTTGGACTTTCTTACCCTCCATTGGGCCCTGTCGAGAACCTTCGGATGATCACTGCATTTGATGCTTCTTTCTGCAGCAGACCTGATGGTTCTAGTCAGGGTGGTTACTTCGTTCTTTTGGCGCCGCGGCACATTTTGGAGACCAAGGAGGATGTTTATCACATCTTGGATTGGAGGAGTTCCAAACTACCAAGAGTAGCTCGGAGTTCACTTTCAGCAGAAGCTCAAGCTGCGGGTGTGGCATCGAATTTGAAAGTTCTTCAAGAGAAGAAACTGGCTGCGTCTGAAAGGCGCATTCTGGATGAAGAGGAGCAGTGGGCAGTGCAGCATGACCCACCAAATGAGGGCGAAGCCTATTTTGTGGACTCCATGAACGTGCTCAAGTATGTCAACATGGTTCCCACTGCAGCCGTGGCAGGCTCTCTGGCAGTGCGACGTTTTGCTTTGCAGTGCTTGAGCATTTTCTGGCTGTGCCTTGCTGCATCTGCGATCCCAGCAGCTCAAGGCCTTGTGATCGAAACTGACGAAACTGGTTTGGGTAGATTCAAAGAACCCCTGGGTATCAACATGGGTCAATTTTGTATACTCATGGTTTGTGTGATTTCTTTTTGTTTTGGTTGGTATGGTGGAATGCGCCGACAGCGCGCGATCTTGAGTGCGAGCTCTCAAGCACTCACCATGGAAGTTGATGAACTTCATGCTGCAGTTGCTGCGTCTACGAATCGAGCGAATGGGCTGAGCATCGTGCTACAGGCCACTGGGATGCAGCTGGAGCGTGTGAGCGCTGAGCTTCGACAGGCCACTCAGGCCTACCAGAGTGCCATGAATGCAGCTCGTGAACATCGGCGAGCTTTGCAGATTGCGGTTGGAGATTTGAACGACGGGTATACCAGGCTCGAATGGATCTTGATGACCATAGCTTGGTTTGTGCGATGGGCCACCCGATTTCCATCCAGGATGGCACCAACATTTGGCATGCAAACGAGCATTGCGACCAGCTCTATGACAGTTGCAGAGAAATTCGCGAAGTGATGCCATGTGAGCGATGTAGCACTGTTTTCAACTTCCTAGGGGATGATAAAAGGAAAGCTTTAAAACACTTTCCCCTCCGTGTGAAGTTGCATGCCATGCACTTAGGTTCATACTGTGACATACCTCCTTTTTCACCATTTCACTTTGATGTTTGCATGTCAGGAACCCAAACAGGATTCCAATTCAGCCTTCCCTTCGCCGCTGGCTCATAGGGTGGGCGTGCACTCCAGATGGCTACGCATGCCTTGGAAAAGGCACGACTTGCGACAGCAGCTTGGCACCTCGTGTGGCTAGGCTGGACGGTGCTTCTTGCAGTTGCCATCTTTGCAATTTATATTATACGTACATATATAATATAATAAGAGGAAGAATGAGAGACCCCCAATCATTTACCGTGCCGTATCTTCCAACAGGAGTGTGACATGGCATTGGTCGAAGAAAGTTTAGAAGTCAAACTTCCGCCAATATGGACAGATGAAAAGCAGAGTTGGGCAGAGGCAGAGAGAAGGGGAGAGTAGAAGAGAGAAGATCAGAGAAGAGAAAGAGTCAGAAGAAAGAATATGCAGATGCGCGAAAAGGTAGGAGAGTCGCGAAACACTGTGTTTTTCCAATGATTTGAGGCTCCGGAGGGTCGAAAAGTAGGCTCGCTAAAGCGGCGGGTGCGGAGCCAGCTGGCCAGATGAGAGATGAAAAATTGCACGCCATTGTGGCGCGAAGCACGTTTCGAAGTCAAAATGCACAAAACACCTCAGCTCCGGACCACTTTTGGAACTTGAGATGTCGAAAAAGTGCACGCTGTTGTGGCGCAAAGCACATTTCGAAGCAAAAGTGCAAAAAACTGAAGGGTAGGAACACTTTTGGACGTTCAGATGCCGTTTTGCGTGGTAGGCAGAAGGGATTGTGCACCTTGTCAAAAGTGAGCAAAACGTGAGGGTTTTGTAGCATGTCCAAAAACGATGGCAGGCGCGGGACATTTGAAGAGGATCTGCAAAGATGCATTTCGCGTGGCAGGCGCAGTACAAAAGACATGTTCATGAGAGATGTTCGCAGGTCAGGGCGCTGATTTCCTGCCATGGGTTGCATTTTGGAGCATCAGGTCTTCAGGTTTGCTGAAATGATGTTGTCAAGTTCAAAATTTGAGGACGTCTCACAGAATTGCTGAGTTTTTGATGTTGTCAAGCTCAAAAACTGAGGAAGTCTCGCAGAATAGCTTCGTTTTCAAACTTGCAGATAGATAGATAGATAGATAGATAGATAGGATAGATAGGATAGATAGGATAGATAGGATAGATAGGATAGATAGGATAGATAGGATAGATAGGATAGATAGGATAGATTAGATAGATTAGGATAGATTAGATTAGATTAGATAGATTAGATAGATTAGATAGAATAGATAGATTAGATAGATTAGATAGATTAGTACGATAAGATCGATAAGATCGATAAGATCGATAAGAACGATAACATCGATAAGATCGATAAGATCGATAAGATCGATAAGATCGATAAGATCGATAAGATAGAATAGATAGATAGATAGATAGATAGGATAGATAGGATAGATAGGATAGATAGGATAGATAGGATAGATAGGGTAGATAGGGTAGATAGGATAGATTAGATAGATTAGATAGATTAGATAGATAGATAGATAGATAGATAGATCAGATAGATCAGAGAGATCAGATAGATCAGATAGATAGATAGGTCAGATAGATCAGATAGATCAGATAGATCAGATAGATCAGATAGATCAGATAGAGTAGATAGATCAGATAGATCAGATAGATCAGATAGATTAGATAGATTAGATAGATTAGGTAGATTAGATAGATTAGATAGATTAGATAGATTAGATAGATTAGATAGATTAGATAGGTTAGATAGAATAGATAGATTAGA